GTGGTCCACCCGAGAAATCACCACCAGTTTTTCTCGGATCGTGATCCTAGGTCCGGATCGTAATCCTAGGTCCGGATCGTGATCCCAGGTCCGGATCATGATCCTAGATCCGGATCGCAATCTTATTTCCGGATCGTGATCCTAAGCCAGGATCGTGATCCCTAGATGAGGTATAACATGTCTTCCCTTGCTCTTTCTCACGATGAATCGCGCAATTGTTCCAACTGTCATCTAGCCTTGTCCCAAGTGATATTGATCTGCTTACTGGGGTTAGGTGCGCTATTGCTAGCCACCTGTCCCAGTTTGTGTCCACCAATCATAAAGCTTTGGACATAGCTGAGGCGTGCGATCCGTTCGATCCCTCACTCCAACTCAACCGTAAATTTCCTTGTGACCGCTTTGCCACAATCTCCCTATGCACATTGTGCGTGCAGTTCCTTAGAACTAAAGTAGACTGAGCTAATAATAGCTCATAGATTCCGCGCTAAGTCTCGTAGACCCAACCGACTCTTTAACTTGATATATTAGTTCCTTAGAACTAACTGGCTGTTAGCTGTAAGCCCCTGGCTTAGCCCGTAAAGTCTTACTCTGACTTTAGAGCTGTGGTCGCTCCGCTACTTGTAGTCAATCCTACACCTGAGTCGTTTTCGACTGAACCTCTGTAAAGAGATGGAGAGTCGTGACTACCTCTCCGAGGCCCAGCGTATCGCGCTTGGTAAGCTTAGAGCGTTGATTGGAGCCGAGCAGGGCGACCACATTTTGTTCCAAGGCCCAGAAATGCTCAATACACGCCTTGATGCGTTCATGCAGTTTGAGGCCACGCTGATCGGGCAGGTCCATGACCATTTATCCCCAGCGAAACCTGCACGGCACATTCCAGTAACTGACAGTGAGCCAAAGGCTCGTCCGCTCGCTCTCAGCGTTAAGACTTTCGACAAAAAAGAGAGGAGGTCTCCCTCTCTGGATCCGAGAAGTCGATATGGCTGTTAATGCCGCGATGCTACAATCTGAGCAGCAGAAAGATGGCTTAGCCATTTCGAAACTAGACGGTAGATCCAGAGAATGGGTTCTGACGTGTGACGCGTCGGTAGACGCTGCATTTCCCACGGGGCATTCGTTTTAACGAGAGACGTCTCGGGTGTTCGCACCACCAAATCAAGCGTACCGTGTACGCTCCCGATTCCTTGCTGCCAGACAGGGGAAGAAATGATTATCGGACTTTTTCCAGGCGTTGCGAACTCTCATAGATGCCATGCAGCTGGACCCTCTTGCAAAAGAAGACCATGTCACCATTTTTATGGAAGGACTTCGTACTGGGGTCGCGAGGACGAAAGTATTCCGCGTCCCCCTCAACGTTTAAAGAGGCTGCGGACATTGCGTAGAACGCTTATTTCAACTTTAAAGCCACTCGCTATGGCACTCATGGGGATGCCCAAAGATCGTATGACGGGGATGAGCCCATAAACCTCAGTCGTGCTACAGAAGAAGAAGACGAGCTTTAAGCTGTTGAACCGCAACGTCACGTTTATAGATGTTACACGTGCGGGAGAACCAAACACTTGCGTCTGCAATGGCTGCGGAAACCGCGTCAAAGTCGGCGGAGCTGCAATCCGTCTCCTTACCCGAAGATGGGTACGGAGCGGGAACACGTCAACTTCCAGAAGGCGCGGAGCACCCTACTAGGGAAGAACTAGGCTCTGCCGAATCTCTAGGTGGTAGAGATAGACGGGGCTTAGCCCCAGACGGACTAGTGAAGGTCGCCACGAGACGTAAGTATAAGTCAGACCTGTCGGTTGCCCCGGCTAAGATTATAGCTTTAAAGAGCGAAATCAAGTATGATTGACTCTAGGGCGTCGGGAAACTAGGTTTGGCGCCAACTCTTTAAGGAATGTCAGCAGTATGCTGAGGCGCTCAAAGCGCATGAGGGTGATGTTATCACTGTTTGCGTGGCGACAGGGTCCCGTGTCACCGTACCTAAAGTTCCATTGAGCTTAGGCGTAATTTATTTTGGCTTCGATAGTATCGAACGTTGTCTTGTCCTTTATTTTGAACTCAAGATATGATCTCACCCTTAAAATGGCATGGCTGGAGCGCCATGAACCATGGATTGATTGGAGATCAAAACCTTAGGCACAACGCACACTGTTACTAGCGAAGCTTTGAAGGTTCATGAACCCACCCTTGCTAGGCAAAAAAGCTCTATTGTCGCGAGCCACTAACTGAGTCTGTTGGTGTGCTGGACATCGAAGTGTCTGAGTTAATTAACTCTGATGTCGTTTACAAAAGTGAAACAGCACTTACTCTGTTGAGTGACACTGGTAACAGTGAATCACTGAATGCTAGCAGTATTGATGGCCTAGAGCCGAGTCATCCTGGGTGTGATCCCTGAGATGCGCGTGGAGTGGCACGTACTCCACTGAGTGAGGTCGGCAGTGATAGCACCCCACTGAATGTCGGTAAAAACATTGTTGGTGATTTACCAAGACATCGAATGCCATGCTCATCTGGTGCGAGTATAGTGGAGGATAATCCACTGAGTGAGGTTGGTCGTGATGGCACTACACTGAATGTCGGTAATAAAATTGCTGGCGATTGGCGAAGGCATCAGGAGCTATGCTCATTTTATGCGAACATCGTGGAAATAATCCACAGAGTGGTTTTGGCTGCAATGGCCCCGCACTTAATGTCGTTGATGGCATTGGCTCTCAGATAGAGCAAGTTGAGGGTGGATATGATCTTCACCTCGCGAAACCGGATGTTCCTAACACGATGAAGTGTTCAGTCTCTGTGCAGAGACTGCAGCGACGCCAGATGGTCGCTGCAGAACGAAAGGCATCTGCCATGTCCCAAAAGGACAGCAGCAACCAGTTTTACACATTGGTCAATGGGATGATAGGCTATATTGATGGATAGGTTGGCCTCGAGGTCCTGCCATCGCTTAGCGCTCTGTTAGAGCTGGATGTAATGTCTGTAAATAAACTTTATCAGGCCTTAAAGGGCCGATGCTTTGTCTGATATGGTGGCCCTTTGACCTGACCTAGAGTTGGACTCGTCATCCCTTTTGGATGAGACAGTCCTCGAAAACGCCAAAGTTGCACTCAGTGCTCGCAGTGAATCTGCTATCTTGAAGGATCCTTTGGATAGCTTCTACTCCCTGGTTAGGGAATTTTGTAGAATTTTGTGTGCAATGGTCCACCATCGAACCCCCTACAGAGAGGGCGTCATGAAATTGACCTGGTCCCTGGGACCAAATGTTGTGTTTCAAGGCAATGACCATTTCCTAAGAAACAGTGTGACGTCATTGACTAGTTCTTTCGTACAGAGTACGCGGCTGGCATGGTGCGTGAGAGAAAGTCGCCGCACTTGACACCGACATTCGTGTCAGGAAGCCTTATGATAAGCGGCGTATTGTGCATGCTTACGATAATCTTAACGCAGTCAGTATACCGGCACAGACAACTATTCTTAGAAAGGATGTTCTTCAGAACGCTATGGTAGGGTGTACAATGTTCAGTGCACTCAACTTGGTCGATGTGTATGACCAATTGCCCATGCGAGCGAGTGATACTCCCCTCACAGCAGTTAGTACGTCGAGTGGCATGATTTGGGAGTGTTTTGTTATGCCCCAAGGGCTATCTAACGCCCATGCTGCATTTAATTTTCTTGCGACGCAATTGTTCCGACCTCACCGAGGATATGTAAAAATCTAATTTGATGACACCTTTGTCCATAGCCGTGCAGAACATGGTAGATCAGATGTGGAGAACCACATAGACCATTTACGAGCAGTGCTCGATTGCTTGCGGATGAACAAGCTGTATGCAAATGCATCCGAATGCATTTTCGGTGCTAAAGAAATTTTCTTTCTTGGGTTCTTCGTTGGAAAGCTTAGTCTACGAGCGGATCCTGCTAAGGTAAAGTCAATTGTTGACTGGCCAGTTGGTTCGAACCAAAAGGACTTGTGTAAATGGATCGGCCTTGCTAATTTCTTGCACAAGTACAGTGGAAACTACGTTGAAATGGCAAGGTCATTATCAATCACCCTCAAGAAAGATACAGTTTGATGTTGGGAAGTAGCCCATACTCAAGTTTTTTAAAGCTATAAAGGCTTATGCTTCAAAATTGTCTTTACCTGACCCGAGGCGAACTCTCAGTGTCGTCTGTGATGCGTCCGATTTTGCCATTGGCAGTGCATTATTGCAGACAGGTGTCAATGGACATGAACGCTTCATCTTGTATGCGTCGCGCCGGATGAAAGCTGTAGAAAAGAACCATCCAGTTCATGACAAGGAGCTACTGGCGATGAAGTACGCTCTTGTAAAATTCAGAGTGCATCTGCTTGGCTTAAAGCCTTTTGTAATCTATACAGATCATGTGTCATTACACACTGTGACACAGTCGCCTTACCTCTCACAACGAATGGCCTGTTGGCTTTCATTCTTTGCAGAATTTAACCTCGAGGTAAAGTACAAGCCAAGGAAGCAAAATGCTTTGGCTGATGCGCCGTCACGCAGGTCCGATTATAAGCTTGCTCATGTTACAACTCTGTCGTCTAATATCCCCGATTTAATCCATGCGGATTATGCCAAGGATGCACAATGTTTTGCGTTATTGCACGCACTAGACTGTGATGAGTTCAAAGACTCGGACAATAAGTTGTAGGCACGTTACGTGCGGGGCTACATCGATAATCTCTCGATAATGGCCTACTAGAGCTATAGCACGGATGCGGCGGATACTTCGTGTATCGTAGTTTTCCATGATACGGAACGGAAGTATCGGATCCTCTTTGAGGCGCATGATACAGCTTTGAGCGTTCATCTCGGTCGAAAAAAGACACTAGCTCGGTTAGCCAAAATTAGTAATGGCCCAAATTTATAAATAGGTGAGCACATATGTGCGTACGTGTGAAACGTGTCAACGCGTTAGATCTTCCGCTCATGCAGCTGCGCCTTTCAGCGAGTTTACCTGTACCTAATGTGTGTTGGGAGTCCATCAGTATGGACTTTGTGTTTGGCCTACCGAAGGATTCGGACGACAATACTGGTATTGTGGTCTTCGTTGACCGTTTGAGCAAGATGGCTCATTTAGCGGCTGTGCCGGACTCGATCGATGGTGAACGCACAGCACAGCTTTTCATTGATCGGGTTTTTCGTCAACATGGTTTGCCCGTGTCAATTATTTCAGACCGTGATCCTTAGTTTACCGGGAAATTTTTGGAAGTCTTTAGTGTAGGTGCTGGGCACCAGGTTGGACATGTCCACAGCGGATCATTCGCAGACCTATGGTAAAACTGAGCGTGGTAACCGCTCTATTGGTGACATTTTACGCAGCATGTGCGTTGACACGCCTCGGCGTTCCGTACAATGCTCCCGATAATCGAATTTGTAATGAACAACTCGGTTCATGTCTCGACTATTTACACGCCGTTCTATGTAAACAGTCTTACACACCCACGCGTTCCATTAACGCCACAATTACATAGTTCAGGGCGTGGGTTGGGGGAGGATTAGCCGATCGGCTTGCTGATGTCAGCCTCAAAAACTGTTCAGAAACAGACGAGCGAGTTGTTTGATACGCGATTGAATGGCTTACGACATGTACTTGATGCAATGGCTAAAAGCCAGGACAAATTAAAGGAACGGGCTGATGCTAGAGGCAGATAGTGAATTGATAGTTACGAAGTTTGAGACCTAGTCTTACTTACCGCTAAGATCCTACCTAACAAGGTGGTGTCAGCGGTCTGCAGTACCAAGTTTCGTCCTCGCTTCATTGAGCAGTTTACGGTGGTAACCAAGAAAGGCCTAGCGTACACGCTCGACCCCCCAAGCCAAATGCGAGCACACCCGGTGTTTTACGTCGGCTTGCTTAAGCCTTACCTTGATACGTCGCTGATGGATCACGAGGCGCTTGCGCCGATGGAGTTGTAGATGCCACAAGTCAAGGAAACCTCAAGAGAAGTTTAGTTGCCCTTCAAGAAGCGCCACTCGGTCACGTAGACCGTGCACCTCGTGCTTTAGCTCGACAACGACGCGTCAAGATTCACTAAACACTGCATGCTCTCGTTGATGAGCAAGGAGATCAACAGACCATGTTGAGCAAATCCTGCAGAGACGTCGTCGCGACTGTCAGTGCCATTACTTGGTACAGTGGTGGGTTACCTGGAGTCAGAGAACTCATAAGAGTAAGAATAGCCACTGCGGCAGGATTTTCCGTATGCCGTGGAAGTTTTCGAACTTTGTTTAAGTCAGTCGTCCCATACCGCTTCCCACTAGTTAATGTGAAAGTGGATAGGGTTGCAGCTCCAGCAGGTTTACCCGATGCGCGGGTCCGTAGCTGTCACAGCATGGCGGGTGCGATAAAACGATCGCAGTTGGCCTTTGGCCTTTTCTTTTGGAAAACTAAAGCGCATCTTTTGTTCGAGCCGAACGTCGGCAAGTGAAGCGCTCTCTTGGAGATTTAACAGGCTTGGCAGACGGCGATCTCGGTGAGCTCAACGCGCGAAGACGACATCATTTCCCCCTCTGTCTCACCAGGAACATTGAATGAAGGGTGCTGTCCGCATGGCGGATAATGACGCACCTCGTGCTTGCAGATCCAGCCTGTCAACGTACGCTTGATCGGTCGTACGTTAACCCTGAACTTTCTCGCTCTGAGAGCCTCCCTCTCCGCTATCGCTGAGGCTGTGACGGCCTTGGGTCCCGTGATCCATGTTGCGAATGACTGACCAGCAGTCTGAAGAATACGATCATCCACAGTCGATCGTGTAAAGCGGTAGCTACTGTGAGCATTGGCTGTGGCTACAATTTGTGCTTGGCGCCTGAGGTCATCGACCGACTGAAGATATTGTGCTCGATTTTGACCGAGGGTGTTGTGCAACACACCCGACGCAGGGTCGACGAATGCACGCTGTGCACTAGGTGTAGGTACCTCATCGCGCTCCATGAATGGATTCGGCGCGGTGCGCGCGGTGTCACGTGCCGGTGGCGTGGCTGGAGGATGGTCATAGATGCTGGAGGCAACGGTGTCACGCTCGTAGTCTACCATGCCCTCTTCGAGAAAATTGTCCATAGTGGTGGACAACGATTTAACTCGGTCATTTTAGGATGTGTCGTGAACATGATGCTCAACTACAAAAGCTTTGAGGCAGATTATCGGTACAAGGGTGTCGACAGTTTGGTGGAAAAGGGTGTAACGCAGTTACATGTGGTCATTCGAATTGGTTATATTGTATGTCCACGCCAGGTAAAGATCAGTGGATCTGATGGTACAGTCTTGGTACCACGTACTTACAGTAATACTGCACCTTATCGGTTAGAGATAAGGAGTGAGACTTCTGTCATAGGATCGTCATGCAGAAGCCATTCAGGCAAGGTTTTAGAGTTTTATGACTGTTGCTAAAAGAATGTATAGAGTTTAGTTTCCCTTTTGAATCGTCGGACGCTAGTGCCTGGCAAGCCATAGTGTGTCGCAAGAGTGTTAGCCTTGTGAAGGCATTTACTCTTGTCTAACTAGTAGTCTTAAGTTAGTGTGTGATTCTGTGAATCGTAATTTCTCTGAAACAGGGATCGTTAAGCTTGCGTGCTTGGACGACTGTACGTCGTTGTTTTCTGTTTTAACTAAGAGACTCTTTGAGTCTAAAACTTTCTCTGCTAAGGAGCACTGAGTAGCTCCGCCACACGAACTACTAACCCCACAATTTCATCAATCTTTGCATCGCCACTCTAATTTTGTCGTTTCGAGGCTGCAATGATACACCCAGATGACAGCTTGCATTGTCGCCAGCTTTGTATTCATGCAGGTGCCCTTCCATACTACTGACTAGTCTACTCAGCCTTATCACTCTATAGTCTCCACGCTCTTTAGTCTTCACGCATAAGATTGATGTCGAAAGACCGACATCAATCTTGTCGCTTGACTCAAAAGAATATATCGAAACCGGAGCGTATCTTTTACACAGTGCCTTGTTAATTACAGGATGTACCGGGGTCGAACCGTTGCACGATACTTTCCGTGGAAAGGCGCAATTTTTTTGAGAAAGGCTTTACGTGCGCTAAGCATTTAGACCTTTCATGTGGTTCGGGTACATCAATTGCGTAACCACCACTAGGTGTGTGTCACACACGCATGATGTCACTACTTGACGTCATTACATGATGTCGTTGAAGTACGCCATTAGCGCGCTTACATTAGATTCAAGTGTACTGTAAAGACGGCGTCTCGTTAGAGCGAGCGCCTAATCTTTTGGCTGTAGGCTGATAGCTATTTTAATTTTTGTTTTTCATATTAGGTATAAATCAGTCTTTGGTTTGCAATTTTTGTAACGAGTGGTACAGAGGACGAGAATCCGTGTCCGTGTCACACTCATCACAAGCTTACAGATTTCGTTAAGGAAATAGCAAAACGCCCACCCATACCTCACTGCTCGCGAGATAAGACGGGATAACTGCTTCCTAGAAGGTGCTTCAAGGTATGTGTTAAGGTAGTGCCTGGCAGCTTTAAGCGCCCGCCTAAACATGACATACGATTTTTGCTAAATTGTGACAGTGTGTAACGGGGTAGCCCGTTACATGATATTGACATTAAACGGTGTCAATAGTAGCTTGTCTAGCGTGACAATCTCTTGTCAATAATACCTGAGATGGTCCATATTGAACGAATCGTATCATATGAAATAATATTCATGCGGCTCAAAGATTGATTGATAAAAGACAAAATCAACCAAGGCTACTACCATCAATCGCTGCCAGATGCGCGCAATGGGTAGGTGAGTAGGCTGTCGTCATTCGTCAATGTAGATTAATATAGTTCGATAAAGACTGAAGTTATATCGATAGCTCAACTATACTGAATACAGTTCTCTTTTTGCCTCTACGTAAACTAGCATGCTGGGTAGATTAGCTTCCTCTGCAAGTACGAGTGTACGTGAAGTTTCGTGGCACCCAAACAAAGGGGGGCCTCGGTACACCTGGTAGCGCTTTGTAGTCCGTCAACAACTACTTAGTGTCCGTCTAACATGAACATGTCGGACGTAGAAGACGACAGCTCTCACGTCACACGTGAAGGCTACTCCCATCTGAGTGACTTAGAATGGGAGGTAGTCGGCCGCATGAGTGTGCTCATGGGCGAACCCGCCATCAGTGGTACGTTGGAGTCTCTAAGCAGAGACCAGCAACATGCTGCTATCAACAAGTTCCTACAAGGGGAACTTGCCGTCGAACGACAGAAGATAGCCTTGCTACAGAAGCAAGGCTATCATCAGTCGATGGGCGGGCCAACACACACGTGTACACCCAAAACCTTGAAGATTGATATCTCAAGGTACAAGCGGACCGATGAAGATTTCCATTTGAGATGGTTCGTCGAGTTAGACGATGCCATCAGGGTCCGTCACATCGAGGGTGACGAAATGCAAGTCACCTTCACCCTGTCGAATTTGACAGGACGAGCAAATACTTGGGCCTTACGGTTCAAGCTTCACGACCCAGATGTGTTCGAGTCGTCGGAGATCTTGAAGCCTCGGCTCAAAGAGACGTTTGAGCCACCGAGAAACGAGTTCAGAGCCCCTCTTCACTCTTGAGGCTAAAGAAATGTAAGCGTGACGTGCACGCTTACGCACAACACCTACGATACCTTGCGAGTAGCGTTACGGAAACCCTGTTGATGAGTACACGCTCATCAACGTGTTTATCTACGGCCTTGTAGGTGGGCCGGTGAATACCTACATGTACCAAGAGGACTTCCATGCGCTGGAAAAGGATATAGCGTATGCGGAACAAGGAGACTTCAGCCTGAGACAATCTAAGGCTATCTCGTCAAACTATCGTCCGACGAGACGATAGGAAACAGGAGGTCCTGAACCAATGGACGTCTGTTACATCGATAGCGAGAACTCTCGCTCTCTGAGTAACAAGCGAACGGCAAGATGCCATCGCTGTCAGAAGATTGTACACTACGCTCATGAGTAAAGTGTTCCAAGCACCGCATCACGTCCAAGGACAGGGCGTGATGACCGCCGTTGGCCGAGGAACGGTCCAAGGCGTGGGCCCGACCATGTCGTTAAACCGCGACATCATGTCGGACCGCCAAAAAACGGCCAGGGTCAGTAGGGGCGGAGCACCCTGCTGATCCAGCAACGTCAAGAGAATTTGCAGGACTCTTGACGAAGATTGATCCCAACACACAGTCTCTGTGTGTTACTACTGCCCCTAGTGATGAGGAGTCTCTCATCACTTTGCAGATCGAAATGACAAGTGGAATGTCACTTCGCGCCCTAGTTGACTGTGGGGAGTCGAACAGTTTTATTCGACGTCAGTCGCTAAGGGATAGTAGGCTCAACTATGTTGAGCGAGAGTTCCTTCCAACGAGGATGACGGTGTGCCTTGCTACAGCGCATCCGTAACAGTGGACAAACGTGTAGTGGGAATCCACTACACTGGAAGTAAAGCAGCACGATGATGACTTAATCGTACTAGACATTGATGACACGTGTGATGTCATTCTCGGTCTACCATGGCTTGTAAAGTATCAGCCATGGATCAGCTGGAAGCATCTATCGGTGAAGATGCCTGCCGTTTGTTCATTGTATGGCCATTTGATGAACGTCTTGGAGCGATCACAAGCGTGTGGATGTACTGCGAGTGAGTGTGATGGCATCAGTTGTGGTACGGTCGTTAGTACGATTGCACAAGATCACAGTGTAGAAGGCCACTACACTTTAAAACCATCTTCTGGCGCCTGTGTAGAGACACAGGCTGCGCCGAAGGTTCACCACTCGAAGAGATCAAGTAGACCGGGACACGGATGCAAACCAAGAAGGGTGCATCCGAGAAGAGAAGATTGGTGTTGTTCAGGATGATCAACACGCTGAAGTGAGATCGACCATCAGAGAGAATCGATCGTGGAGCAATCCCGATAGACTGAAAGAGAGTCGATCTAAGAGGACGTGACTGTGGAAGTACACCCACAGTCAGTACACGTATTGGAACAAAGTTTCAGCATTCCTGAGAGTGATAACCCCCGAGAGAGTTATGTTAAGGGTGTGGATCCCCAACCACCTGCGGATGTGTTTTCCCAGGAAATCACCGAGACAGTGAATGTTTTGGTGAATGACGGATCAAGTGTAGGCGCTTATACACTTGATCTGGTTACACCTCTAAAATCAGCTTCGGAGGTAATCAAGTTGCCAACGCTATAATTTGAAAGATTCTTGCGAGGTCTGCATAGTGACAAGACTAAGAGAATCTGAGGGCTCGTCATAGAGGACGAGGACGTCGCCGATAATCGGTCGGCACAAGTGTTTACTGAGAGCGAACGGGTTCTCAGTAGCTCATTGATGGACGAGAGTGTCCTCGATGAGAAGACTCGGATTGAGCGATACATGCCTCAACTTTGGGAGTCTTTGAAGACAAATCCTTTGTATGAGGATTTGGTTGAATTCAGGGATGTTTTCCCTGAATCCGTGCCATGCGAGCTGCCCAAGAACAAAAGCAGTCGGCATGAGATCGAACTGAAAATAGGTTCGAAGTACTGTGTCATGAAGCATTGGCCACTGCCTTGTGAACAGGTAACAGCGATCGACAAATTCTTTGCCGATCGTTTAGCGGCTGGTCATGTGCGGGAATTAACATCCCCACACAGCTTTCCGACTTTTTTTGTGCGAAAGGCCACAGGAGGGTGGCGGATAGTGCACGCGTTCAACAAACTGAACGCTGCAACGGTACCGGCTCTTACGCTGATACCGAAAAAGGACGTGATCATAGATGGCATGGCAAAGAGTACCATCTTTTCGTCCATGGATTTAATGGATGGATTCTATCAGATCCTCATGCGTGAACGGGACATCCCTACACTGCAGTGAGCACCCCCAGTGGTATACTCTGGGAGTGGCTAGTGATTCCACAGGGGCTAAGTAACGCCCCTGCAACGTGCAACAGATGTGTTACGAATCTTTTCCGATTGGTGCGCGATTTCGCTCCGAGTTACTTCAACGATGTCTTCGTCCATAGCCGGGCTATGGATGGAAAGACGGACGCGAAGGTTCATAAAAATCACGTCCGGAAGGTTCTTACTCTAATTCGAGAGCGTAAGTTGTTCGCGAATCTCGAGAAGTGTATATTCGCAGCGAACGAAATTCCACTTCTTGGCTGCATCGTGGGTAAAAACGGTGTACGCCTTAATCCGGAAAAGATCAATGCGATTAGCGAATGGCCTGTGCCATCGACGTCAAGGGACTTCGAAAGTTCCTTTGCTTGGCGGCGTACTTGCACAAACACTCGCGCATCTACGCCGGGATGACCGTACATCTCTCTCGTCTGTTACAGAAAAACGGGAGGTGGTCATGGAGAGCTGAGTGTCAGCACTATTTTGAAGGCATCAAGAAAAGCTTGATACAATCGCCTGTGTTGGCGATTGCAGACCAGGACAGACCATTTCTTGTGGTCTGTGACGCCAGCGATTTTACGATCAGCTGCGCGTTGATGCGTTGATGGTGAGTACGACTCAAACGGCGTTGAACGCGTCGTCTGTTATCAATCGCGCCAGCTGCAAGCAGCTAAGCGTAATTTACCCAGTGCATGACAAGTAACGCCTTGCCATGAAATATGCACTGGACAAGTTTCGGGTATATCTCTTAGGAGATAAGCCCTTCATAGTTTATACTGACCATGCGTCGTTACGCACGGCCGTAAACAGTCCACAATTTTCGCAACGAATGATTAGGTGGCTGTCTTTCTTCGCAGAGTAAAAATTCCCCGTCGAGTGTAAACCAGGACAACTTAATTTCGTCGCTGGTGCTCTTTCATGCCGGCCCGATTTCGAGCCGACTGCTCAACCCAACGGTAGGGGTGATCCCACTGTTGCAACACTATCAGTGAGTGTTCCATCGTCGAATCTTCTCGAAGACGTGCGAAAAGCGTACGCAAAAGATGAGTCTCTTCTGCGGTTGATGGATTATGTATCTAATCCATGCAGTCAATCTTTAAAAAGCTTAACGTCTCGATACCGCTCTTCAACCGAACGGTATTCTGTTAGTGATGGACTGATGTACTATACAGCAGTCAACGGCGACACACCTCGTGTCGTCGTTCCCGCTCATGATGATTTGCAAATGCGCATCACGTATGAGTTTCACGATGCCCCAACAAGTGGGCATCGCGGTAGAGAAAAGACTTAACTCATGATTCGTGACTTCTACTGGCCTCGCAAGTGTGATTTTGTGCGCAAATGCATTCGCGCTTGTAAAGTTTTCCAACGGGTAAAGACTAGTCTTTCATCTCGTGCACCCTTGCAGCCTCTTCCGATTCCGGCAGAGTTTTGGCAGTCCATATCGTTGGACTTGGTCTTCGGGTTTCCCAAAGACGCTCACAAAAATACTGGTATTCTCGTGTTTGTTGATCAGTTCAGCAAGATAGTACACCCTGTTGCTGTACCGGAGTCAATCACAGCCCAGGGATGTGCGCGTGTTCTCATCAGTACTATCTTCGGACTTCACGAGTTCCCCCGTGAACTCGTGTCCGATAGGTACCCCCGCTTTACGGCGGAGTTCTGGCAATACGTGTTCCGTTCACTTGGAACACGTTTAAAGATGTCAGCTTCTGACTATCCCGAAACAGACGATCAGACGGAACGCGTCAACCGCGTTCTCGAAGAGATACTTCGAGGACATTTCCACTCGTTTACGAGCTGGAGTGAGTTCTTGCCGATGGCGGAATTCGCCATCAACAACTCGGTGCACGCGTCTACAACGCATACACCGTTCTTCGTGGATGGCCTACGCCATCCACGTTTACCCGCCTTCTTAGGGTGTGGCTCTAGTTTAAGGGGGGGGGACTTCCTCGAACAAAATTCGATCTGGTTCTTGCTCATCACCCGTCGTCAATGGTGTTGACATGATGAATACCGATGTCGGTGGGATCGATATCGATGATGACGATGACGACGATGCTGGCATATTCCGCATCGCTAATGACCGCCAAAGTGAGGAAGATGACACCCTCACTGGTAGAGACAACGTTCTTTCATCAGTGCACACGAAGCGCACTGCTGTTGACAAGGATGAATCAGCAGAGGGATTTCTACTGACTCGCGAAGCGGTTGTCCGCTTCGTTCAAGATTCTATTGCAGATGCACTAGACGGACAGAAACGAAACGCAGACAAATATGGAAGAGCAAATGCTCTTTCATTTGACGAAGGAGACCTAGTTTTACTGTCTACAGTAAACTTACCGAAGCACGCAGTGACAAACGTGGGCAGCAGTAAATAACTGCCCAAGTACATCGGTCCATTTCGTGTATTGCGCCGCGTGGGCAACGCATATACGATTGAGCTTCCTCGTAAGATGTCTGCTTATCCTACATTCACAATGGATCTCTCCACCCGTTCTATCAGTACGAGCCCGTTTCGAGATGCGAAGAGCACCTCCGCGGTCAAGAGCCGAGACCACCTTCGAGTGGTTCCGTTTCAACGAGCCAGTCTGGTCGACTAGCGAAGCGACCTGCTCACGCAGTTCACCGATGTCTCGACGAGCTGCAGCCAGCTCGTCACGAAGAGAACGAATCAAACGTTCTTTCTCAAGTTGTGTGAACGCAAAAGCGGCACGATCGTTCGGACGATCGTGCGTTAAGGAATTGTAACTATCCTTTACAAGATCCTCAAGCTCATAACGCCGAGTCCGTTCATGAGCCAGGTCATCGTATAACTGCTCCGTTACACGGTTCAGCTCCTGAACATCAAGCTGATCCAACTTTAATCCGGATCATGTGTTTCCGCCACCACCACATTCTTTGGTGGACTCAGGCGGTGGTCAACGCTTCCTAGTGGAGCGTATTTTGAGCCACCGCGACGTGAATGGCGTCCAGACGAGTTACCTCGTCCGCTGGCGTGGCTATCCACCGGCGTGGGACAGCTGGGAGCCTCGTGCCCAGCTGATTGTTGATGTCCTGGGTCTCGTCGAGTAATATGACGAGACCCGCCCGCTGCGTTTGAAGAAGGTCCGTCGGAAAACGACCTCCCCGAACACGAGTACAGGGATTGAAAAGTGTCAATCTTTTCGGCTATCTCGGGATAGATGCGCGCCCTCCAGTAGGGATCATTAGTGATGTAGGCCCCTCTAGGGGCAAAGTTCGAGTTATCCAGGCAACCTGGACACGAATGACCCCACGAGAGACATGGTAATCCTGCCTCTCTTGACAGTCGGTGCAACTTGTATCGCGCCCCGACTGGGTTGCGTTTCTCAAACCGGATGCAAGGTGCATCAATTTTATCGAGCCAGGTCCCACATCCAATGCACTCGATGTTATGGATGAGGTCATTCCATTCCTGCACCAAGGCTTTGCCGTCTCGAACACGGCTATCATTGTACCACCGATGTTTAAAGGCCGCATCGGTGAAGAATTCTTCTTCAGTACGGATAGTTTTCTTGCTGAAATCAGTTGGGCAAATCTTCCTGCAATCGAACAACGGGTTTCGATATGGTTTGGTAGTCATACCGGTCACTCGACCCAACTCTTTGGATGCTGGCATCCACGGACACTCCACTTGAGGGTCGTGGCGCAGGACATTTTGGTCCCTGGCCTCTTGATTGGTGCCAGCATGAGCACTGGCACCAGTGTTACCCCGATCCCGTGAATCACTTCGCTCGTGGGGATGTATAGGTGCATCCCCACCATCCCCACGCGTCCTATCGTCGGATGGACTTGCGTGAGGCGATGATTTGTTAAAACAATCCTCGATCCGAAGATCTCGGACATGATACCGACACGTTGATTAGTGCCAGTCAACCTGACTCTTGCAGTGTCCGCCTGGGGTGATCCAGAGGCATGAGGTGTCACTTTTGAGTCGGATGCATCATCCGACTCGCCAGAAGAGATGATCTAGATTTCAGACTCCTCTAGATCAAGACTCGTGGTACCCGCTGCAGACGCAACGGATGTACCTGTCGCACGTGGTGACTCACCACGTGAGGGATTAACGACAACAGGCGATGAATCGCCTGCTACTGAGGTGTGAGAAGTTGTCTCTCCGGCTGCACTGCACGCATGCCGCCTTTCTTGCTGCTACAGTAGCAGCTCGCTTGGATTTTAAAACCGTGCGTTGGATTGGCAAATGATTGAATTTGATCGATAAGTGCTCCCTTTCCCAGAGTGATCCAACGGTGGCCATCCTGTCCAAATCAATTCTATTCAATCAACGGGTGATTGGTGGTTGGGGGGGTCGTGTAACGGGGTAGCCCGTTACATGAAATCGACACCAAACGGTGTCAATAGGAATATAGTCTAGAATGACAATATCCTATCAATATGATCCGAGATCGATAGCATTGAAGATAAATTATCCCCTTTCAGGATAGTATTCATGCGCTGCTTAAAGATTGCGTGATAAAGACATATCAACCATAGATTACGACCAATCGCTGCTAGACGCGCGCAATGAGTGGTGAGCAGGTTGTCGTCAAACGACGGCGTAGTTTAACATAGTTAGATAAAGATCAAAGTTACATTGATAGCTTAACTATATTAAAAGCAGCTCTCTTTTTACCCTTTTCTTAGCTTGGTTGTTGAGTAGATTAGCTTCCGCTGCACGTACTAGTGTACGGGAAGTTTCGTGGCACTTAGACAAAAGGGTGCCCCGTTACAGTATCCGTCTGATCTCCGTTGCCGTGTTGTTGTCCTTCGAAACATCATCAGCATTTGCTCTGCGTATATTGTTCAAATTAATGCTCGATAGTAAAAAGGATTCTGTTATTACGTTTTAGCCTACCAGTAAACTGTTCAAACTTGTAAACTTCCTCACCAATCAATCGGTTGGTTGCAGTGCAACACCCAGGTTGACCAGTCAGAAAAGACAGGCAGTGTCGTCAGTCGTATCTTGGCCCGTCCTTGCCCATGTGCAAATCTTCCTTCAACACTCCTCCTCGACTGCGGCACCACCATAATCCCCTTCTTTTCTTCGAGTCCTGCCTCTACCCGAGGCTCATCAACTCGCACAGCGACGCAAGCTTGGCCGCATCCAGGGCCATCGTCATTAGGTTAGCAACTTGGGCTTCAGACCTGACGTACTGCGCCTGTATAATCTCGCGTCTTGAGTAGTCCCGCACAAACTTGAGCCGCACATCGATGTGCTTGGCTTTCAAGGAAGACGCCTCGCCATCCAGCTTCTTAGTAGCGGCTTGATTATCGATGTATAGCGTCATCGGCAGTCCGGGTGGCATCCCAATTTCGCGCAGCATCTGTCATATCCCAAGTAACTCGCGCGTTTGCTCCGAAGCTGCAACAAATTCGGCTTCCATGGTGGATAGAGAGACGCCGCCTTGTTTCTTGGCCGTCCAACTCACCGCCATGCCGTTCAAGAAGATGACCCCGCCCGTCAACGACTTCCGGTCCAGCTTATCAGCAGCGAAGTCCGCGTCTGAGTACGACTCCAAGCTCACTGTCTCGCGCGCGCTCGACGCCGGTGTCAGCCGTAGCTTGAAGCTGCAGGTACCCTGTAAGTACCTCGCGATGCGTTTCGCGAGCTTGTAATCATGGAATCGCGGCTGGTGCGTCTGGCGCGTCGCCTTGTGGACATCAAATGCAATGTCTGGCCGCGTACATCTCGACACTCAGAGAAGACTACCGACGAGCGATTGGAAGCTTCGAATGCTTGGAGCTCCTCCTTCTGCATTAACAAGCAGAGCTCTGTCTGTCGTCGGGATCTCGTAACAATCTGCATCCGCGTGGAGTTTGCATCTTCGAGACCATGATCTTTTAGGATGTCGTTAATTGCAACTTCTTGATCGATAATATAATCTCCGTCATTGTCAACCTCCACTCGCATTTCTAGAAACTTGTTGACTGCTCCTAGGTCCTTGATAGACAGACTGCCTAGACTCGCGAAGGAACGATCGACTGCTGCCGCGTCCGTACCAGTAGCTAGCAAGTCATCAACGTAGACCCCGACAATCACGAGGCCCCTCCCATCCTTCTTCCAGTAAAAACACATATCCGACACGCACTGCTGGAAACCAACGTCAAAAAGCCGTGCATGTAGTAATTGGATCCAGAGCCTCCCGGCCTGTTTAAGGCCGTACAAACTCTTGCGAAGCTGTAACGCCATTTCACTCACGCTCGATGCCCCCAGTGACTTGATAGTATTACTGCTCACGTCCATTCCTCTTCGTACTTGTAAAAGTATTTCCAAATCAGCCTCTTTGTCAGCCTTTACGTAGGCGTTAGGGATGTCGCCATGCTTTGCGACAACTCCCCACGTAACTGCAAGAGCCAATATTATCTTCACCGTGGACATGTCCATCACGGCAGCAAATGTGAGGCCATAGTCAACTCCAAACACTTGCTCATTGCCGCACGCCACAAGTCGCGCTTTAAGGCGTTCGAAATCCCCATCAGCAGTCATCTTTGTCTTGTACACCCACTTCGTGTGGAGTGCATTGCTGCTGCTCGGACGCTTGATAAGATGCCAAACGTCGTTGTTCTCGAGCGCTTCCAATTCTTCACACATCGCCTTCTTCCAGTCCTCGCTTTTAGAACTTCGCATTGCTTCGCCGTAGTTCTTCGGATAACGCTCGTACACATGGTTTACGATGCTAGTATTACTCGCTGGCTCCTCCTGACCCGCGAATTTCTGAGCTCGCTTCGACGCACCACGCGTGCCGTGTGACGAGCGGGTCCATGACTTCTTCTTCAATCGTCCGCTACGCACAGTCAATTTCCCGTTCTTCTTCTGCTTTGATGAGATCGCTAGTGACGCCATAGACAACGCAGAAGATTCTGCACTCCTGGAAACAGCTGTTCCGGCTTGATCTTCGTATTCCAGTGCGCGCTGAAGCTGTTCATTTTGCTCATCACTGAGCGTCGCAATGTTTTTCACATGCTGCGTGACGACCACGATGTTATCCTGTTGCAAAAAAACTCCATAGCCTTTAGCTTCGTCGCTCCTCCCAACGATAATGCCAACTTTTGATCGTTGTGCGAGCGAGTTCTTGCGAGGGTCTCGATAGACCGTGCAACTTGAGCCGAATACCACTATGTTGCGCAAGTCGGGGACAACCTTCGTGAGAACCTGTATTGGCGACGCGCGTTGCAGGTTTGCGCTTGTAGGACTCCTGTTCAAGATGTACGCCGCGTACTCGACGGCGTCTCCCCAAAATGTCAAGGGCAGGTGGCTTGCAAAGATTATGGACCGAGCCATATTGAGAACGGTCCGATGCATCCGCTCCGCCTTGCCGTTCGAAGCTTGATTTCTTGCCTCTGAAACTTGACGGGCTACTCCAGTGCGCTTGCAGAATAAGTCCACATTCTGGTACTCCCCGCCGCCGTCCGTACGTAGCACGTGAATACGACAATTAAATCGCTTTTCAAAAAACACCAAAAAGTGTTCAATCTTCTTCGCTGCTTGATCCTTAGTTGGGGCCAGAAACACGCGGCAGTAATTCGACTTGTGATCGATAAAATTCACGAGATATCTGTTTCCATGTCGGTCCTTGGGCGTCATAGGTCCCTTTGGATCCGAGCAGATAACTCCACCAATCCTGTCGATTGGTGCATTCACGCCGGTGTCCTTTTGTGATTGAGAATTCTTCGTCTGCTTCCCTTCAGCACATGACAAACACGTGAGTCTGCGCCGATCCGTGAGTTTGATCCCTGACGCAGGATCCTTCGCCATTCGTTCCACCGTGTCGAAAGGAAGGTGTCCGAGTCGCTGGTGAAAATGCATGAGCGTGCCGCTTTGCACTCCAAACGATGACTCAGCCGCTCCTTCTTCAGCCAGTATTGCCATTAGTACATCACTTGGCATGCTCCTTAAGTGCGAAGTTTCAACAGTCTTAACGTAAAGTAAGTTGTTTTCCATAGTCAAATAGAAAGCCACTTCCCCATTACTGCGATTGGCGAGCGAGCGCGTCGCGCCATCGTACACCAATCCAAAACCTTTGAGCTCGAGTTTTCCATATGAGACAATGTCGCGCTCGAGTTCAGTCGCAATGTACACTTCGGTAAGCTTGACCGTCCGCTCCTTGCCACCTGCCATAACGCATAAACGGACGCTACCGACTCTTTACAGGGATAGTGTTTCTCCATCCGCCATGTTGCACTGATAGTTGCAGTCTTGTGCATCCAGCAACAGGCTCTCATCCTTCACAAGGTGACGACTTGAACCACTATCCAAGATCCACTCTTCATGCTCGTCCTTCGCATCTTTTCCAGCATAACCAAAATGCGGGTTCTTCCTTTTGATTCCACGATCGTTGATCGCCAAAACGAGGTCTGCGCCATGTTTTCCACGACGACCATCGTTAGTACTACGGCCTTTGCTTCGACAGTTGGCCTTGATGTGACCGGCCTTTCCGCACCCAAAGCACGTGCGTGTCTCCCTCTTTGTTGAGACCTCGTCCACGAGCTCAACAACATCTCGTCCTAGAGCCCGGCCCTTACGCGACTCCAGCTCTACAGACTGCGCGAAGTGGGCGAGCTCCTCAGCTTGACGCAAAAAATCCACTCTTGAGTTGTGGTACTTAGCCATAAGCATCGTACTTAGTTCCGTCGACGCATAATGCACGATATTATCCAACACCTGTTGGTCCGCGCCACCACACGCGTCACTGACAGCAACCAAGTAAAGGTAATGCTCCGGCCAACATCTCTTGGGGTCTTTACGCGCCGTGAAGAGATGGATTGACTGCGAAGCCGTGATTGTGGTCTTAAAAGTCTGATGGAGCCTTTTCATGACATGATCCAGCGTCGGTAGTTGTGTCCACCACAACTCCAGCTGCTCGTTATAATAGCGCTCCGCGGTTTCGCTCAAGTAGTGTCCAAGTGAGTCAGCTTTAACTTCCTCGGACCATGCGAATCCGCACGCATGCTGGGCCATCGTAACTTGCCGAAGAAATGTTCTCCCCCAATCAAGAAAATTGGAGCCAAGTCCATGGTATAGCTCACTACCGTCAAACTTCCTGATCGCCAGCTTTCGTTGACGTGCGTCCGGCACGCGATGCGTAGGGCATAGCACTTGCTGAGCTTGTTGAGGCATCTGTTGCGGTGGGTAGCCTTGCTGTAACGGGGCACCCTGAAGCTTGTACTGGTGACAGTACAAGCTACTTATTCTGATGACAGAATAAGGCGGTGCCTCGTAACTTCACGTACACTGGTACGTGCAGAGGAAGACGGTAAGAAGAAGCGAGTACTTGGTTAGAGTAAAAAGTAGAACTGTATTTATAAAAGTTAATGTCTGCAATAAATCACCATTTATCTTCATCTAACTATGTCTAAATATACAAATGTGCATATCAACTATCTGCTCACCACTCATTGCGTGCGTCTGTCGTGGCGCGTCTTCGTTGGTTGATATAATGGCCTATATCAACCAATTAGGAACTACTCGTAAGTGCAACAGAATATTTGTCCTTATGACAATATTCTGAGAATATAACTCTTATAGTTATATTCTGTTAACAATTTCTTATAAATTGTTATGTAACGATTCACCCCGTTACATCACCCCCCCCTTAACCATCAGTCACTTTAGTGACTGATTGACTAAATGGATACTCGTCCCAAATCATTTGGGACAGGGTTTGCACTTGTTGGTCCGCGTCCACTTTCCAACATCTCATCGCATGGTTAACAAGCCCATGCGATGCGCGAGCAAGGCCGCCGAGAGCGCGTCTGAACGTCTCTGTGCGGACGCCGAAGCAGAAACAACAGCAACTGATGTCCTATCGGTTGCTGAAGCGACCCAGCCTGTGTCACTTGGTGATGCAGGCGCTGGTCATGAAGACACTCGTGTCTTCACAGAGTGCGAGCTCGGTGTCTCGTACTCTCCTGATACGGATGACGGATCCGTATCGACGGCGATTGAATCTAAGCCGCCAGCCAAGCGTGGCATGGACGATGCTTTGCGTCGCAGCATCTTTGGTTCATCTGATGAATCAGATGAACCATCGCCGAAGCGAAGGCGCTCGAGGTCGCGAGACTCGGGCGCTAAAAGTGGTGTCGGTCCTCCTATGGACACCACTTCACAGCGAGGTGCCAGTGCTTCTGTCGGCACGTCGCAGGAAGAGCGGGACCGCAATGTCTTGCGTCTCGCTCCAGAAAAGAAGGCATGGATGCCTCCGAAATCCGTCATGGATCACTTGTCGGCGACGACGAGTGATCGTTATCGAACACGATTGTTCGATTCGTCAAGGATCCATCACCTTGACCCCAGCGCGAAAAACTATCGCGCTGAACACGAATTCTTCATCGATGCTTTCTTCAAACATCGATGGTACAGTGGGAATCACAAACGTGATGGTCCCTCACTACTTCAGGCGTGGAACGCCTACATCCATAACCTCGAGGATGTAGGTCGTGACGCTTGGAACGACAAACTTATCAAAGCTCGTGATAAGTTTGAAAAGCGAACCCCGACAGGTGCACGCTACAAGCTGCATCGTCTGTCAAGGGAGAAAGGATTACCCTGCCTCTCTTGGGGAGCCTCGTGCCCATGTTGTGTGAACAACTCTGCACGAGCACCTAAGGAGGCTTACCTCCTTACCAGCCCGTGGTGGCGCGTACGTATCTCTACTGAGATGTACGAAGGGATTGACAACCTGAAATCCCTTTACGACCGTGCCGGGAAGACTTTCTCCGGTGGTCCTTCTGCGGCACAGGATGTGCCGCGTCGTACTGCTCAACCAGACCCAGTACGTCGATCATCAGTTGGGAGCGGGGCTCCCAAGAATCCCAGGACGGGGGATAGCCGCGCCACCGGACGAGATAACTCGTCCGACGTCCGTTCACGTCGCGGTGGTTCAACAGCTGCTCAACTAGATAGCGCTGGCCACCACGAGAGTCCTCTAATGGAGGTGGAGGAGGAGGAAAGACGCTCTCCACACGATCATGTGGATCGGTGTGTTCCCGAGAGCTTCTTTGATCGCGTAACGCAAGGGTTACGCGACGATCTCGAGCATGAGCGAAATAGGCGTCTCCAAATGGCGGACACTGCCTCGAAGCATCGAGCTGAGTTTGCCTTTGCTCAGCTTGAGAACGAGAGATCTCTGACATCTCTTCGTGACGAGCTAAGGGTAGCTCGTGGGATTGTTGATCGGTCTCGGGCTGAGATAACTGCTCTTCAGACCCTTGTTGATGCCCACCATCGGGAGCACAAGGCTCTCTGCGAGATGCTTGAGCGCAAGGGCGTTCTTCATCGGAAGAAGAAGCGTACTGATGGTACGGCTTAAGCCGACCAACGTAAAACGTGGGATGCGTTCGCATCTTACGTGGTAACTCGATCGTGTATGCATTGCCTAGGCGGTGCAATACACGAAATGGGCCAATGTACTTGGGTAGTAGTTTACTGCTACCCAAGTTAGTCACTACATGCTTTGGTAGATTAACCGTAGAAAGTAGGACTAAGTCACCTTTACTAAATAAAAGAGTGTTTGCCCTTCCATTCTTGTCAGCGTTTTGCTTTTGCTTATCCACCGCTTCGGCGATGGAGTCTTGCACAAAACGGACTATCGTTTCACGAGCCAGTATGAACTCATCTGATGACTCGTTAGCTTCAGTGTGCTGTGAGCGCACTGCAGCAACATCAACCTTTTCTTCAGTGAGGACTTCCGCACTCTCACTGGTATCATCTTCTTCAGTGAGGGCTTCCGCACTCTCACTGGCATCATCTTCGTCGATATCGATGTTATCGATATCGGCATCAAACGCAATGACTTCTTCGTCAGAGCGTGATGAGCGTGAACCAAATCGGTTTTTGCTCGCGCGAGTCCCTCCCCCCCTTAAACCAGAGTTACACTCTAGTAAGGTGGGTACACGCGGATGGCGCAAGCCATTCACGTAAAACGGTGTATGTGTCGTGGACGCATGCACCGAGTTGTTAATGGCAAACTCTACCATTGCAAAAACTCACTCCAACTCTTAAAGGAGTGTACGTATCCTCGAAGTATCTCTTCAAGGACACGATTGGCACGTTCCGTCTGACCATCTGACTCTGGATGATCAGATGTTGACATCTTCAAGCGCGTTCCGAGTGATTTGAACACGGAACGCCAGAAATCAGCTGTGAATCGTGGATCTCTGTCTGATACGAGTTCACGGGGCAACCCATGAAGTCGGAAGATGGTGTCAATAAAGACACAAGCACAGCCACTTGCCGTGATTGTCTCTGGTACAGCCACAAGGTGTACCATTTTGCTGAATCTGTCAACAAATACGAGAATACCCGTATTCCCGCGTGCGTCTTTGGGTAACCCGAAGACGAAATCCATTGAGATGGATTCCCAGCACTTAGCCGGAACCGGTAGAGGCTGTAAAGGTGCACGCATTGAAGGACTTGACTTCACTAGTTGACAGACTTCGCATGCGCGAACATACTTTCGCACAAACTGATACTGGCGGGGCCAGTAAAAGTCTCGACTTACCGTGAGATATGTTTTCTCTCGGCCACGATGTCCTCCTATAGGAGCATCGTGATACTCGAACATGATCCGCAAACGCAGATCAGTATCATCTGGAATGACAACACGTGGTGTGTCACCAGAAACGGCTGTATAATACAGTAAACCGTTACGAGTAGTGTATCGATCTGATGCAGATCGATACGCAGACGACAATCGTTTCAACGATTCTCGAGATGGTTGGGAGAGATGTGACAACAACTTCACTATCTCAGCATCTTGGGCGTATGCCCGCCTCACATCATCATACAACGTTGTAGATGGGACTGAGGACGTCATAACCGCAACAGTGACTGTCTCACTGTTGGGTTTCGCGACTGTTTCAAAGTCGGGACGACGTGAGAGTGCATCAGCGACGACATTAAGTCGTCCTGGTTTGTACTCGACCGTAAAGTTGTATTCCGCAAAGAATGACAACCACCGCGCCATTCGTTGTGAAAGGTGCGGGCTGTTCACTGCCGTGCGTAATGACGCATGGTCTGTGTAAACAACGAAGGGTCTATCTCCTAATAGATAGAATCTGAACTTCGCGAGTGCACACTTCATGGCAAGGAGTTCCTTTTCATGCACTGGATAGTTCCGCTCAGCTGGTTGCAGCTGACGCGACTGATAGCAGACGACACGTTCAACGCCTTCAAGATCGTACTGCATTAATGCACAGCCGATTGCGAAATCGCTGGCATCACAGACCACATGAAATGGCCTGTCCTGATCGGATATTGCTAGGACTGGGGATTGTATCAAGCTCTGCTTGATACCATCAAAGGAGCGCTGACATTCAGCGTTCCATAACCACCTCTCGTTCTTTTTCAACAAACGAGAGAGGTGTACAGTCATCTCGGCGTAATTGCGAGAATACTTATGCAAATACGCCGCTAGCCCAAGGAATTTTCGAAGACCTATGACATCAACCGGCACAGGCCAGTCGGTGATCGCCTTGATCTTTTCGGGATCAGGACGTACACCGTTCTTACCAACGATGCACCCAAGAAGTGGTATTCCGCTTGCTGCAAATATACACTTCTTGAGGTTAGCATACAATTGATGCTTTCGCATGATTGTAAGAACTTGTCGGACGTGGTACCTGTGAACCTCAACGTCCGACTTTCCATCCATAGCTCGACTATGGATGAATACGTCATCGAAATAACTCGGCGCGAATTCTCGTACTGGTCTCAACAGATGTTATACACATCTGTTGAACGTGGCAGGGGCATTACTGAGCCCTTGTGGCATTACTAGCCATTCCCAGAGCATGCCGCTAGGCGTGCTAACTGCGGTATAGGGTATATCCCGTTCTCGCATAAGGATTTGATAGAAGCCATCCATCAAATCCATGGACGAAAAGATGGTACTCTTTGACATACCATCAATGATTACGTCCTTCCTCGGTATCGGCGTCTGAGCCGGTACCGTTGCAGCATTCAATTTGTTGAACGCGTGCACTATCCGCCACCCTCCTGTTGCTTTTCGCACACAGAAGGTCGAAGAGCTATGTGGGGAAATTGATTACCTCACATGGCCCGCTGCTAAACGATCGGCAAAGAACTTGTCGATCGCGAGTACTTATTCACGAGGCAGTGGCCACTGCTTCATGACACAGTACTTCGAGCCTGGTTTAAGCTCGACCTCTTGTCGAATACCTTTATCCTTCGGTAATTCGCACGGAACAGTTTCAGGGAATACATCCTTGAATTCAACCAAATCTTCATAGAGAGGATTTTTCTTGAGCGATTCTCACGATTGGGAGTCATATCGCTTAACTCGTGTCTTTTCATCGAGGACGCTCTCGTCCATAGCTGAACTACTGAGAACTCTCTCGTTCTCAGTAAACACTGTTGCTGACCTTATGTCGGTTACACACTCGTCGTCAGCGACGAGTATGCAGATCTGCTTGACTTTGCCACTACGCAGATCACGCAAGAACCTTTTATGTTCGAGCGTTGGCACCTGAGTGATCTCCGAAGTCAACTTCGGAGGCGTAATCAGATCAAGTGTATAAGCGCCTACACTTGATCCGTTATTGACTATGACATTCACTGTCTCTGTCATTTCCTGGGGACTTATTCCCTCATGCTTCGAAGGACTTATTCCTTCGGCTTCCCGGGGACTTATTCCCGCGGGTTTCGGGGAACTTATTTCCGCCGTATTTGTAATCTTGGGACTTATTCCCTTTACTTCCTCTAGCTGGGGTTGCGCAACCACAGCGAGATCCTCTACGAACGACTCTCCAGTCGATCTAGGATTATCGTTTCGATTAACCTGAGCGATCGATTGTTTCTCTTCTAGATGTTCCCCTCTAGGGATACATCTTTGTCCCAGTCCACCCGACTTATTCGAGTGGTGGACCTTCGGTGCAGCCTGTGTTTCCTCACAGCCGCCGGAACTTTGATCCGAAGTGTAACCGTTTGGTACACTAAGGTTTTGTGCAGTCGTACTAACGACCGTACCACAAGTGAGGCCATCGCACTCACTCGTAGTACATCCACACGCTTGTGGACGCTCCAAAACGTTCATCAGATGGCCATTTGATGAACAAGCGGCAGGCATCGTTACTGTCCGACGTTGCCAGTTTACCCGTGGTTCGTACCTTCTGAGCCATGGTATTCCAAGGATGACATCAAATTTGTCATCCAAATCCAATACGATAAAGTCATCGTCATATTGGGTATCTTCTAGCGTATAGTGGATCTTCACTATACGCTTCATGACGGTTACGGATGCGCCTGTCGCAAGACGTACCGTCATCCTCGTAGGAGGTGTGTCACATTCACTGAATTTAACGTGACCATCTTCTAGCGATTGGCGTCGCACAAAATTGTTGGACGCCCCACAATCGACTAGAGCTCGAAGGGACAACTTATTCGTCACTTCGAGTTTCAAGGTAATGAGTGAGACCTCATTACCTAGAGCAGCAACGCACAACGTTTGTGTGTTGGGAGCAACCTTCATCAAGAGGCCTACAAATTCTCTTGACGTTGCTAGACCAGTAGGGTGCTCCGCACCTACTGATCCTGTCCGGTTTTTGACGGTCCATCCCGTTGTTGCGTCTTTGCACCAACTGCGGACCCTCGTCCCTGCCCCTTTCTCATGGGTGGATGGTCACTACGCCCAGTGTCGCGAGACACTGGACGAGGGGCACTACAGTCGTAAGCGTAGTGTCCTGTCTTTTGACATCTGTTACATTTCTGCAACTTCTTGTAGCCTGTAGAGCGAGCCTTCTCGCTCTCTACATAACAGAGTTCCATCGGCTCTGGACCTCCGTTGTCATATCGTCTCGGTTGACGATATGATGTCGAGCTGGCGCGATCCTGTCTCAGACTGAAGTCTTCCTGCTCCGCAATGGAAATGGCTTGTTCTAGTGAATCTAGTTCAAGCCGGAACAGGTGAGTCTTGACGGGACCATCCGCAAGACCCTGCATAAACACCGAAACCAACGTGTGTTCATCCACCGGATTGGAACTTATACAACTCGTGAGATGTCGTATATGTTGAGCGTAAGCGTGCACATCACGCTTTCCCTGCTTGAGCTTCAAGAGTTCGGTTCGAGCCCTGAACTCAGCTCTAGGCGGTTCAAACGTTTGTCTGAGCCGCGACTTGAAGACTTCCAACGACCCAAACGCATATGGGTCGTGCAACTTGAGCCCCAGTGCCCAAGTCTTGGCACGTCCTGCCAGATTTGACTGGGCAAATGCAACTTGCATATCCCCGTCGTCGATGCGACGCGCCCTTATGGCGTCATCCAATTCGACGAACCATCTCAAGAGGGAGTCTTCTTCGACCCCCCTATACTTTGAGATGTCAATCTTCAAAGTCTCGGGCCGACGCGAGTGCATCAACCGACCAGCAGCAGCCTGCTGCTGTCTCAACAGTTCAAACTGTTGAGTACCCTGTTCTCTCAACAACTCTGCTTGTTGAGAACCTTGTTGGTGAAGCAAGGCTACTTTCTCGCGTTCAGCGTCAAGTTCATTTTGAATGAACTTGGCGATAGTAGCATGTTAGGCATCTCTATTGAGAGCCTCTAGCATGACGCTAACAGCATGGATGCCCATGGTTGAACCCATTCGTTCAACCGCATCCCATTCGACATCGCTCAAATGGGAGTAGCCGTCACGCGTAGCGTGGAAGCTTTGGTCATCTTCATCATCCAACATATTCATGTTAGATGTGAACGTGGTCCTTAGACGGACTACAAAGCGCTACCAGGTGTAACGGGTCACCCTGAAGCTTGTACTGATGACAGTACAAGCTACTTATTCTGATGACAGAATAAGGCGGTGCCTCGTAACTTCACGTACACTGGTACGTGCAGAGGAAGACGGTAAGAAGAAGCGAGTACTTGGTTAAAGTAAAAAGTAGAACTGCATTCAGCATAGTTAATGTCTGCAATAAATCACCATTTATCTTCATCTAACTATGTCTAAATATACAAATGTGAATACCAGTTATCTGCTCACCACTCATTGCGTGCGTCTGTCGTGGCGCGTCTTCGTTGGTTGATATAATGGCCTATATCAACCAATTAGGAACTACTTGTAAGTGCAACAGAATATTTGTCCTTATGACAATATTCTGAGAATATAACTCTTATAGTTATATTCTGTTAACAATTTCTTATAAATTGTTATGTAACGGTTCACCCCGTTACACTTGCCGTAAGTCCGGCGCCGCATACTGCGGTCCGAGCGGTTCAACGTGGGCGCCTTGAGCCGGTGACACTCTCGGGTGCTGCCTTGGCTGGTCATGCTCTTGATAAACAGCTTTTCGTCTCGGCGGCGAGTTGCCAAGAGCGTCCAGGTGCATCGGTCCAGCGTTGCCCATGTTGCGGCCAAGCAGAGAGCTGAAGAGTCCACTCTCAATTGCACCTCGAAGTCGCTCGTTCCCGTCAGTCTGCATCTGGGACGCTTCCATGCGCTCCATGCGACCTTCGAGTCCCATGAGCATCTTGAGGATCCTCTCGTTCACGTCCGCGCCCCTTTCGTGGGTTGGCGGTCGACGACTTCGGCAGGCGGCGTCACGGTCCTATCGCGACCTGTGATTGGCGGCGCCTGTGCCGCGTCGTCGGAGCTGTCATTTGGGCTCATAACCTGTTCAAATTAATGCTCGATAGTAAAAAGGATTCCGTTATTACGTTTTAGCCTACCAGTAAACTGTTCAAACTTGTAAACTTCCTCACCAATCAATCGGTTGGTTGCAGTGCAACACCCAGGTTGACCAGTCAGAAAAGACAGGCAGTGTCGTCAGTCGTATCTTGGCCGTCCTTGCCCATGTGCAAATCTTCCTTCAACATATATATCCAATTCTTCAGCTTCAGCTTGTCAATTACTATACCTGATTTTTTATTTGTTGCTTTTCCTTCCTTTTTAATCATATTGCCGCACAGCGGAGTGGGCTTACGAGAAGATGGCAGGCTCATCCCAGCAGATTTTATCCAACAATAGGTTCTGGTGACCAACATAGCATCAGTCAAGAAATTTAACAATAAAGAGACCAAACATAGGTCCGTACACGACAGTAGAAGAACAACTGTGGGTTACATTTGTTCATGATTGCTCAATGTTGTGAATGTGTATGCAATTACAGCTGAAGAGTACAATCGGGATTTAATGAGCGGAGAGTAGGGCGGAGAACAAATGGATCAAGTGTACTTTTTAATCTCAAGACCACCTCTATTACTGACCATCTTTAGTCGTTCGGAGTACATAAAGCCCCAGAAAGGTAAACATTTAGCTATTTGTGCAAAGTCTGCCATAGTATCTGCTAGCTGACTATTGTGGCTGCGACGAGAGAGGTTTGACTGCAGAAACTGACATTCTTAATTGGTCTGTTAGGGACAGCAGTAAGCTCGCTTTTGATTTGTGAATCGGCAGCCCGGGTCGTCTGCCACACAAAACGCCCCACATGTCAGACCTCAATTTTTATGAACTTGTTGTCGCTTCTCAATGAATGTCGGTTCTCAATGAACGTTGCAAATGATAATGTCAGCTTTTAGTTTTATTTGTACTATATAATTTGAGGGCTGCTAGCGTTCCAACCGTACGATCGCCACGTACTCATGTACTTAAGACAGGCAATTGTGTTGCAGAAGTAATTGGGACGATCACAACTGAGAAAACGGTGGACCTTTCTGGTGTGGTCACGCACCTTCATTATGGGTCGCAGTAGTCGCTGTTACAATTCAGAAATTTAGTTTGTCGTCCATTGACTTCATTTGAAGGTGTCTACAGTCGCTGGTGATGGACGTAAAAAGGAGATTTTAAAGAGTATATTTCCTTTTTTCACAATAAAAAACAAGGCACGATGATCAACGGTGGTGGCTACACTGTATTAACGTTAGCCTTCAACATACTGTGCGGTCGGCAACTAAGTCTTAGCACTGGGCATTGGCGATTTGCTTTACACCGTTAGGACGATCCGACGAGACCGAAAACTCCAAGCGACACTCGTGACCCCAGCTGGAAATGCTGCTATTGATAGCAGACTGGGTCCGCTTTGAGACAGCAATGCTGACAGCATGCCTGAAATAAGTGTGGGTCAACTCTTTGGCAGTGCTCAGACGATTGAGGATAATCAGATTTCCATATGTTGCACCCTATCGGGGAATATGGGCACAATGCTAGCCCGAAGGTGGGGACTGCAGCAGCGGAGACCAAAGCCATGGCAATCTTAATCTTTATCATTGACAATCCTGAGTGACGGGTATGAGGGTGCTGACCTTTTGGCAAATGCGAGAACGGTTCCTTCGAAAAGTAGTGCCCGACGGCTAAGTGCGCAACCGTGCACTGACAAATGCTTGCTCCAGGACGGGGGTCATTCTCGAAACCATACATTGAAGGAGAAATGCACCACCCAAGCAATACTGCAGACTCGGGCGAGAATCTACGGTTCCTAATCGGTTGCCACGTGCAGGCTGTGCGAGCGTGATGGCACCTCTCATCTGGTCTGCCTAGGATTCAAGAGCGCCAGAGATCTAGCGACAGGGTGGGTCGCCAGACAAACAATCGTTTGAAGACAAGGGATGCACCTGCGCACAAATGTGCATCTAGCATTGTGCAAATTGAGTTTCGAACCTTGCCCAGAGTTGGCCACATTCTTACTTAATGTAGACGGGTCTATTCTGATCTGGCGTAGTGATAGCAAACAGAGGAGATCAATCACCTTGATCTAGCAACTTTGATGGGTGTTCAGAGCCCTTGTTTGTACACGTCCGACCAGAATTTTTTCGAAACCATAACAGACGCGTTTCAAACGAAGCTGTAAGAAGGCTGCTTTTGAGCCACGGCATCCATTGTCCGAAGACGAAAGGAAGGGTTGGATGTAACTCTTATTGAAAAGGAGCGTCCCATCTCGTCGTAGCTGAAGCATTGTTTCGCTTTTTGGCAAGGTGTCGTCCTGGCAGTTAACGTCTTTGTAGAAATCTACAGAAGGCATTATAAATTAACGCAGCTCAACCGCAGGCATTGACGTCATTGATGAATCGCGTAGAAATGTTAGGGTCCAGCCCAGTACCCCAACTCAGCACCAATCTTGTGATCGTCAGTTGAATCGTTAGTATCTCCCCCCGACCTACAAAATCCAGTCGATATTTACGGCCTTTCGTCTTCGAGAGTGTCCTACCTGCTAGCGAGCCGTCGGGAAGGTCGTACGTAACAGAAACTAAGTGATGCAATTGCAAGAACTGCAGTCGGAGGGCCGTCGGCTTACAGTCACATGATTGGTTAATAACAGGCGTTTTAAGGGGTGATGTCCGACGACGGCGGCAGGAAAGAGTGCAGACGTGCCGCATCTGCTCCGATCGGGACAGAGAGCTGGAACGAGGGGGGGCGACAGGATACCTAGCTGCCAGCTGATACATCGGCGGCTGGCAATGACTGCGGACTGCCGCATCTGCTCCATTTGGAGAAGAGAGCTGGCGCGAGGGAAATGAGTTTGTCAGATTACTGCGCTGCCAGCTGATACATAGGCGACGTGCAGAACGGATGTCAAAAGTCGTAGCGCAGTAGACCAATGTGTCGAATCCACCACACAAATCCCTATTACTCGGCGCTGCTAATGCGTGGTGGTGTCAAACACGTCGATTGTTTTTACAAATAACTAACATTTGAAATTTCAGGAAGTGTGATCCGATACTGGATACACATCTTGGGTGCTCCGAAGAGCTGGGGGCGAGGGTAGCAGAGGTCAAAGACATCCAACCCGAGCCAGAATCAAGACTATCTTTCAAGCGCTCTCAGTGCAACGCTGCCCTATGCAGCAGAAGATATCAAGACGTCCAAAATGACGCCCAACTGAATTTGTGACCGCTTAGCGCGGCCAGCCGACATATAGCGCGATTAACCGAAGTTACATTTCAGGCTGGTAGAATGCCACTAAAGTCGGCGACAGACTCCATGGCCGATAAAGCGACCGTCCGAGCTGGATGTCGCTATCACCAAGGCGATGACATGGGCGAGGGGATCGCCCACCGCCGTAATTTTTCCCTATAGAATTTCCATCTGCGATGGTGGGCCTCCTTCTGCCACTTGCGCGACCCCCAGGGCTTGGACTGTGCGACCACTGAAGCGGCGACGCGTGGCGCGAAGTACGCCTCCATTTCGTAACCTTCCCCTTCCTGGCCGCTAGCGCGACCCGTCGGTCCACTGCCCCCACATCTGAGACTGCGAGTGCAGCGCGCTCGAGTCAGACTCCAGACCACTACGGCGCCTCGATGAGGAGGATATCCTCCGAAGTGGCCGCTCCGGAGGGGTAAAAGACTGGCTTGAGCTGCACCACGAAAATTGGGGATCGGTGCTGCTAATGCATAGATGAACTAAGGACTAAGAAATGTATAAGATAACCTAAACTTTAATGAATTTGGTCACATTTACCTGCCTGCTGTATAAGACGTGCTCCTACAATTGACTTTGAGCACTCCACGCCGATTGTTTAGCTACAACAGCCTCCTCTGCTACACTTGTACTATTTTCCACAGAGCGGTGGATGCTTCTGAACGTATACCTCACATGCGTATGACACACAAAATCAAAGCGTCCCTGGGTGCATTGAGCACGTTCATTGCAATCAATTTAAAAGCTAGTTTGGCAAAAGGCCAGTCCAAGCGTTTTTTCTCGAGATGGGTGGAGAAGAAATCAGTAGGTAATGATAGCTCAAGCATAATGCCAATAAACTTTTGTTTGGTTGCAAACGTGTGCGTCTCTAGCACGCTTTCGTCGATTCCGGCACGCAGGTGTACATATCGCTCTTTTACTATGCTTTTTGGCCGCCATTACCCGTAATTTCTGCTGATCCACCCGTCATTTTAGACGCCACCTTTAGTAGCTGCACTCCTTTTTGGCATTTCGTTGGCTCAATGTTTAACGGGGTAGCCCGTGACATGATATTGACATTAAACGGTGTCGATGGGGATATTGTCTAGCATGACAATACCTTTCCAAAATTATCCGGGAGGGACAATATTGTAGGAATAGTTGCCTAAGGGATTCTATTTACATGCTGCTCGAAGATTGATTGATAAAGACACATCAACCAATACTACCTTCAATCGCTGCTAGACGCGCGCAATGAGTGGTGAGCAAGTTGTCGTCATACGACGACGTAGCTTAGCATAGTTAGATAAAGATTAAATTTTATTGATAGCTTGTGTATGTTAAATACAGTTCTCTTTTTGTCTCTACTTAAACTAGCATGCTGGGTAGATTTATCTCCTTCTGCACGTACTAGTGTACGTGAAGTTTCGTGGCACCCAAACAAAGGGGGGCCTCAGTACACCTGGTAGCACTTTGTAGTCCGTCCAACGACTACTTAGTGTCCGTCTAACATGAACATGTTGGATGTAGAAGACGACAGCTTTCACGTCTCACGTGAAGGCTACTCCCATCTGAGTGACTACGAATGGGAGGTAGTCGGCCGCATGAGTGTGCTCATGGGCTAACCCGCCATCAGTGGTATGTTGAAGTCTACAAGCAGAGATCAGCAACATGCTGCTATCAACAAGTTCCTACAAGGGGAACTTGCCGTCAAACGACAGAAGATAGCCTTGCTACCACAGCAAGGCTCTACTCAGTCAATAGGCGGGCCAACACACACGTGTTGACCCGAAATCTGGAAGATAGATATCTCAAGGTACAAGGGGACCGATGAAGATTTCTGTAACGGGGCACCCTGAAGCTTGTACTGGTTACAGCACAAGCTACTTATTCTGATGACAGAATAAGGCGGTGCCTCGTAACTTCACGTACACTCGTACGTGCAGAGGAAGACGGTAAGAAGAAGCGAGTACTTGGTTAGAGTAAAAAGTAGAACTGTATTTATAATAGTTAATGTCTGCAATAAATCACTATTTATCTTCATCTAACTATGTCTATATACAAATGTGTAAATCAACTATCTGCTCACCACTCATTGCGTGCGTCTGTCGTGGCGCGTCTTCGTTGGTTGATATAATGGCCTATATCAACCAATTAGGAACTACTTGTAAGTGCAACAGAATATTTGTCCTTACGACAATATTCTGAGAATATAACTCTTATAGTTATATTTTATTAACAATTTCTTATAAATTGTTATGTAACCATTCACCCCGTTACATCACACCCCCTTAACCATCAGTCACTTTAGTGACTGATTGACTAAATGGATACTCGTCCCAAATCATTTGGGACAGGGTTTGCACTTGTTGGTCCGCGTCCACTTTCCAACATCTCATCGCATGGTTAACAAGCCCATGCGATGCGCGAGCAAGGCCGCCGAGAGCGCGTCTGAACGTCTCTGTGCGGACGCCGAAGCAGAAACAACAGCAACTGATGTCCCATCGGTTGCTGCAGCGACTCAGCCTGTGTCACCTGGTGATGCAGGTGCTGGTCATGAAGACACTCGTGTCTTCACAGAGTACGAGCTCGGTGTCTCGTACTCTCCTGATACGGATGACGGATCCGTATCGACGGCGATCGAATCCAAGCCGCCTGTCAAGCGTGGCATGGACGATGCTTTGCGTCGCAGCATCTTTGGTTCATCTGATGAATCAGATGAACCATCGCCGAAGCGAAGGCGCTCGAGGTCGCGAGACTCGGGCGCTAAAAGTGGTGTCGGTCCTTCTATGGACACCACTTCACAGCGAGGTGCCAGTACTTCTGTCGGCACGTCGCAGGAAGAGCGGGACCGCAATGTCTTGCGTCTCGCTCCCGAGAAGAAGGCATGGATGCCTCCAAATCTGTCATGGATCACTTGTCGGCGACGACGAGTGATCGTTATCGAACACGATTGTTCGATTCGTCAAGGATCCATCACCTTAACCCCAGCGCGAAAAACTATCGCGCTGAACACGAATTCTTCATCGATGCTTTCTTCAAACATCGATGGCACGGTGGGAATCACAAACGTGATGGTCCCTCACTGCTTCAAGCGTGGAACGCCTACATCCATAACCTCGAGGATGTAGGTCGTGACGCTTGGAACGACAAACTTATCAAAGCTCGTGATAAGTTTGAAAAGCGAACCCCGACAGGTGCACGCTACAAGCTGCATCGTCTGTCAAGGGAGAAAGGATTACCCTGCCTCTCTTGGGGAGCCTCGTGCCCATGTTGTGTGAACAACTCTGCACGAGCACCTAAGGAGGCTTACCTCCTTACCAGCCCGTGGTGGCGCGTACGTATCTCTACTGAGATGTACGAAGGGATTGACAACCTGAAATCCCTTTACGACCGTGCCGGGAAGACTTTCTCCGGCGGTCCTTCTGCGGCACAGGATGTGCCGCGTCGTACTGCTCAACCAGACCCAGTACGTCGATCATCAGTTGGGAGCGGGGCTCCCAAGAATCCCAGGACGGGGGATAGCCGCGCCACCGGACGAGATAACTCGTCCGACGTCCGTTCACGTCGCGGTGGTTCAACAGCTGCTCAACTAGATAGCGCTGGCCACCACGAGAGTCCTCTAATGGAGGTGGAGGAGGAGGAAAGACGCTCTCCACACGATCATGTGGATCGGTGTGTTCCCGAGAGCTTCTTTGATCGCGTAACGCAAGGGTTACGCGACGATCTCGAGCATGAGCGAAATAGGCGTCTCCAAATGGCGGACACTGCCTCGAAGCATCGAGCTGAGTTTGCCTTTGCTCAGCTTGAGAACGAGAGATCTCTGACATCTCTTCGTGACGAGCTAAGGGTAGCTCGTGGGATTGTTGATCGGTCTCGGGCTGAGATAACTGCTCTTCAGACCCTTGTTGATGCCCACCATCGGGAGCACAAGGCTCTCTGCGAGATGCTTGAGCGCAAGGGCGTTCTTCATCGGAAGAAGCAGCGTACTGATGGTACGGCTTAAGCCGACCAACGTAAAACGTGGGATGCGTTCGCATCTTACGTGGTAACTCGATCGTGTATGCATTGCCTAGGCGGTGCAATACACGAAATGGGCCAATGTACTTGGGTATTAGTTTACTGCTACCCAAGTTAGTCACTACATGCTTTGGTAGATTAACCGTAGACAGTAGGACTAAGTCACCTTTATTAAATAAAAGAGTGTTTGCCCTTCCATTCTTGTCAGCGTTTTGTTTTTGCTTATCCACCGCTTCGGCGATGGAGTCTTGCACAAAACGGACTATCGTTTCACGAGCCAGTATGAACTCATCTGATGACTCGTTAGCTTCAGTGTGCTGTGAGCGCACTGCAGCAACATCAACCTTTTCTTCAGTGAGAGCTTCCTCGCTCTCACTGGTATCATCTTCTTCGATATCGATGTTATCGATATCGGCATCAAACGCAATGACTTCTTCGTCAGAGCGTGATGAGCGTGAACCAAATCGGTTTTTGCTCGCGCGAGTCTCCCCCCCTTAAACCAGAGTTACACTCGAGTGAGGTGGGTACACGCGGATGGCGCAAGCCATTCACGTAAAACGGTGTATGTGTCGTTGACGCATGCACCGAGTTGTTAATGGAAAACTCTACCATTGGCAAAAACTCACTCCAACTCTTAAAGGAGTGTACGTATCCTCGAAGTATCTCTTCAAGGACACGATTGGCACGTTCCGTCTGACCATCTGACTCTGGATGATCAGATGTTGACATCTTCAAGCGCGTTCCGAGTGATTTGAACACGGAACGCCAGAAATCAGCAGTGAATCGTGGATCTCTGTCTGATACGAGTTCACGGGGCAACCCATGAAGTCGGAAGATGGTGTCAATAAAGACACAAGCACAGCCACTTGCCGTGATTGTCTCTGGTACAGCCACAAGGTGTACCATTTTGCTGAATCTGTCAACAAATACGAGAATACCCGTATTCCCGCGTGCGTCTTTGGGTAACCCGAAGACGAAATCCATTGAGATGGATTCCCAGCACTAAGCCGGAACCGGTAGAGGCTGTAAAGGTGCACGCAGTGAAGGACTTGACTTCACTAGTTGACAGACTTCGCATGCGCGAACATACTTTCGCACAAACTGATACTGGCGGGGCCAGTAAAAGTTTCGACTTACCGTGAGATATGTTTTCTCTCGGCCACGATGTCCTCCTATAGGAGCATCGTGATACTCGAACATGATCCGCAAACGCAGATCAGTATCATCTGGAATGACAACACGTGGTGTGTCACCAGAAACGGCTGTATAATACAGTAAACCGTTACGAGTAGTGTATCGATCTGATGCAGATCGATACGCAGGCGATAATAGTTTCAACGATTCTCGAGATGGTTGGGAGAGATGTGACAACAACTTCACTATCTCACCATCTTGGGCGTATGCCCGCCTCACATCATCATACAACGTTGTAGATGGGACTGAGGACGTCATAACCGCAACAGTGACTGTCTCACTGTTGGGTTTCGCGACTGTTTCAAAGTCGGGACGACGTGAGAGTGCATCAGCGACGACATTAAGTCGTCCTGGTTTGTACTCGACCGTAAAGTTGTATTCCGCAAAGAATGACAACCACCGCGCCATTCGTTGTGAAAGGTGCGGGCTGTTCACTGCCGTGCGTAATGACGCATGGTCTGTGTAAACAACGAAGGGTCTATCTCCTAATAGATAGACTCTGAACTTCGCGAGTGCATACTTCATGGCAAGGAGTTCCTTGTCATGCATTGGATAGTTCCGCTCAGCTGGTTGCAGCTGACGCGACTGATAGCAGACGACGCGTTCAACGCCTTCAAGATCGTACTGCATTAATGCACAGCCGATTGCGAAATCGCTGGCATCACAGACCACATGAAATGGCCTGTCCTGATCGGATATTGCTAGGACTGGGGATTGTATCAAGCTCTGCTTGATACCATCAAAGGAGCGCTGACATTCAGCGTTCCATATCCACCTCTCGTTCTTTTTCAACGAACGAGAGAGGTGCACAGTCATCTCGGCGTAATTGCGTGAATACTTATACAAATACGCCGCTAGCCCAAGGAATTTTTGAAGACCTTTGACATCGACCGGCACAGGCCAGTCGGTGATCGCCTTGATCTTTTCGGGATCAGGACGTACACCGTTCTTACCAACGATGCACCCAAGAAGTGGTATTTCGCTTGCTGCAAATATACACTTCTTGAGGTTAGCATACAATTGATGCTTTCGCATGATTGTAAGAACTTGTCGGACGTGGTACCTGTGAACCTCAACGTCCGACTTTCCATCCATAGCCCGACTATGGATGAATACGTCATCGAAATAGCTCGGCGCAGATTCTCGTACTGGTCTCAACAGATGTTATACACATCTGTTGAACGTGGCAGGGGCATTACTGAGCCCTTGTGGCATTACTAGCCATTCCCAGAGCATGCCGCTAGGCGTGCTAACTGCGGTATAGGGTATATCCCGTTCCCGCATAAGGATTTGATAGAAGCCATCCATCAAATCCATGGACGAAAAGATGGTACTCTTTGACATACCATCAATGATTACGTCCTTCCTCGGTATCGGCGTCTGAGCCGGTACCGTTGCAGCGTTCAATTTGTTGAACGCGTGCACTATCCGCCACCCTCCTGTTGCTTTTCGCACACAGAAGGTCGGAGAGCTATGTGGGGAAGTTGATTCCCTCACATGGCCCGCAGCTAAACGATCGGCAAAGAACTTGTCGATCGCGAGTACTTGTTCACGAGGCAGTGGCCACTGCTTCATGACACAGTACTTCGAGCCTGGTTTAAGCTCGAATTCGTGTCGAATACCTTTATCCTTCGGTAATTCGCACGGAACAGTTTCAGGGAATACATCCTTGAATTCAACCAAATCTTCATAGAGAGGATTTTTCTTGAGCGATTCCCATGATTGGGAGTCATATCGCTCAATTCGTGTCTTTTCATCTAGGACACTCTCGTCCATAGCTGAACTACTGAGAACTCTCTCGTTCTCAGTAAACACTGTTGCTGACCTTATGTCGGTTACACACTCGTCGTCAGCGACGAGTATGCAGATCTGCTTGACTTTGCCACTACGCAGATCACGCAAGAACCTTTTATGTTCGAGCGTTGGCACCTGAGTGATCTCCGAAGTCAACTTCGGAGGCGCAATCAGATCAAGTGTATAAGCGCCTACACTTGATCCGTTATTGACTATGACATTCAATGTCTCTGTCATTTCCTGGGGACTTATTCCCTCATGCTTCGAAGGACTTATTCCTTCGGCTTCCCGGGGACTTATTCCCGCGGGTTTCGGGGAACTTATTTCCGCCGTATTTGTAATCTTGGGACTTATTCCCTTTACTTCCTCTAGCTGGGGTTGCGCAACCACAGCGATATCCTCTACGAACGACTCTCCAGTCGATCTAGGATTATCGTTTCGATTAACCTGAGCGATCGATTGTTTCTCTTCTAGATGTTCCCCGCTAGGGATACATCTTTGTCCCAGTCCACCCGACTTATTCGAGCGGTGGACCTTCGGCGCAGCCTGTGTTTCCTCACAGCCGCCGGAACTTTGATCCGAAGTGTAACCGTTTGGTACACTAAGGTTTTGTGCAGTCGTACTAACGACCGTACCACAAGTGAGGCCATCGCACTCACTCGTAGTACATCCACACGCTTGTGGACGCTCCAAAACGTTCATCAGATGGCCATTTGATGAACAAGCGGCAGGCATCGTTACTGTCCGATGTTGCCAGTTTACCCGTGGTTCGTATCTTCTGAGCCATGGTATTCCAAGGATGACATCAAATTTGTCATCCAAATCCAATACGATAAAATCATCGTCATATTGGGTATCTTCTAGCGTATAGTGGATCTTCACTATACGCTTCATGACGGTTACGGATGCGCCTGTCGAAAGACGTACCGTCATCCTCGTAGGAGGTGTGTCACATTCACTGAATTTAACGTGACCATCTTCTAGCGATTGGCGTCGCACAAAATTGTTGGACGCCCCACAATCGACTAGAGCTCGAAGGGACAACTTATTCGTCACTTCGAGTTTCAAGGTAATGAGTGAGACCTCATTACCTAGAGCAGCAACGCACAACGTTTGTGTGTTGGGAGCAACCTTCATCAAGAGACCTACAAATTCTCTTGACGTTGCTGGATCAGTAGGGTGCTCCGCACCTACTGATCCTGTCCGGTTTTTGACGGTCCATCCCGTTGTTGCGTCTTTGCACCAACTGCGGACCCTCGTCCCTGCCCCTTTCTCATGGGTGGACGGTCACTACGCCCAGTGTCGCGAGACACTGGACGAGGGGCACTACACTCGTAAGCGTAGTGTCCTGTCTTTTGACATCTGTTGCATCTCTGCAACTTCTTGTAGCCTGTAGAGCGAGCCTTCTCGCTCTCTACATAACAGAGTTCCATCGGCTCTGGACCTCCGTTGTCATATCGTCTCGGTTGACGATATGATGTCGAGCTGGCGCGATCCTGTCTCAGACTGAAGTCTTCCTGCTCCGCAATGGAAATGGCTTGTTCTAGTTAATCTAGCTCAAGCCGGAACAGGTGAGTCTTGACGGGACCATCCGCAAGACCCTGCATAAACACCGAAATCAACGTGTGTTCATCCACCGGATTGGAACTTATACAACTCGTGAGATGTCGTATATGTTGCGCGTAAGCGTGCACATCACGCTTTCCCTGCTTGAGCTTCAAGAGTTCGGTTCGAGCCCTGAACTCAGCTCTAGGCGGTTCAAACGTTTGTCTGAGCCGCGACTTGAAGACTTCCAACGACCCAAACGCATATGGGTCGTGCAACTTGAGCCCCAGTGCCCAAGTCTTGGCACGTCCTGCCAGATTTGACTGGGCAAATGCAACTTGCATATCCCCGTCGTCGATGCGACGCGCCCTTATGGCGTCATCCAATTCGACGAACCATCTCAAGAGGGAGTCTTCTTCGACCCCCCTATACTTGGAGATGTCAATCTTCAAAGTCTCGGGCCGACGCGAGTGCATCGACCCGCCAGCAGCAGCCTGCTGCTGCCTCAACAGTTCAAACTGTTGAGCACCTTGTTCTCTCAACAACTCTGCTTGTTGAGAACCTTGTTGGTGAAGCAAGGCTACTTTCTCGCGTTCAGCGTCAAGTTCATTTTGAATGAACTTGGCGATAGTAGCATGTCGGGCATCTCTGTCGAGAGCCTCTAGCATGACGCTAACAGCATGGATGCCCATGGTTGAACCCATTCGTTCAACCGCATCCCATTCGACATCGCTCAAATGGGAGTAGCCGTCACGCGTAGCGTGAAAGCTTTGGTCATCTTCATCATCCAACATATTCATGTTGGATGTGAACGCGGTCCTTGGACGGACTACGAAGCGCTACCAGGTGTAACGGGTCACCCTGAAGCTTGTACTGGTTACAGCACAAGCTACTTATTCTGATGACAGAATAAGGCGGTGCCTCGTAACTTCACGTACACTGGTACGTGCAGAGGAAGACGGTAAGAAGAAGCGAGTACTTGGTTAAAGTAAAAAGTAGAACTGTATTCAGCATAGTTAATGTCTGCAATAAATCACTATTTATCTTCATCTAACTATGTCTATATACAAATGTGAATACCAGTTATCTGCTCACCACTCATTGCGTGCGTCTGTCGTGGCGCGTCTTCGTTGGTTGATATAATGGCCTATATCAACCAATTAGGAACTACTTGTAAGTGCTACAGAATATTTGTCCTTATGACAATATTCTGAGAATATAACTCTTATAGTTATATTCTGTTAACAATTTCTTATAAATTGTTATGTAACGATTCACCCCGTTACAATTTCCATTTGAGATGGTTCGTCGAGTTAGACGATGCCATCAGGGTCCGTCACATCGAGCGTGACGAAATGCAAGTCACCTTCACCCTGTCAAATTTGACAGGACGAGCAAATACTTGGGCCTTAGGGATCAAGCTTCACAACCCAGATGTGTTTGAGTCGTCGGAGATCTTGAAGCCTTGGCTCAAAGAGACGTTTGAGCCGCCGAGAAACGAGTTCAGAGCCCCTCTTCACTCTCGAGGCTAAAGAAAGGTAAGCGTGACGTGCACGCTTACGCACAACACCTACGATACCTTGCGAGTAGCGTTACGGAAAACCCTGTTGATGAGTACACGCTCATCAACGTGTTTATCTACGGCCTTGTAGGTGGGCCGGTGAATACCTACATGTACTAAGAGGACTTCCATGCGCTGGAAAAGGATATAGCGTACGCGGAACAAGATGAATTCAGCCTGAGATAGTCTCAGGTTAACTCGTCAAACTATCGTCCGAAGGGACGATAGGAAACAGGAGGTCCCGAACCGATGGACCTCTGTTACATCGAGAGCGAGAACTCTCGCTCTCTGAGTCAAAAGCGAACGGCAAGATGCCATCGCTGTCAGAAGATTGGACACTACGCTCATGAGTGTAGTGTCCCAAGCACCGCAACACGTCCAAAGACCGGATGTGATGACCGCCGTTGGCCGAGGAACGGTCCAAGGTGCGGGCCCGACCATGTCGTTAAACCGCGACAGCAAGTCGTACCGTCAAAAAACGGCCAGGGTCAGTAGGGGCGGAGCACCCTGCTGATCCAGCAACGTCAAGAGAATTTGCTGGACTCTTGACGAAGATTGATCCCAACACACATTCTCTGTGTGTTACTACTGCCCCTAGTGATGAGGAGTCTCTCATCACTTTGCAGATCGAAATGACAAGTGGAATGTCACTTCGCGCCCTAGTTGACTGTGGGGAGTCGAACAGTTTTATTCGACGTCAGTCGCTAAGGGATAGTAGGCTCAACTATGTTGAGCGAGAGTTCCTTCCAACGAGGATGACGGTGTGCCTTGCTACAGCGCATCCGTAACAGTGGACAAACGTGTAGTGGGAATCCACTACACTAGAAGTAAAGCAGCACGATGATGACTTAATCGTACTAGACATTGATGACACGTGTGATGTCATTCTCGGTCTACCATGGCTTGTAAAGTATCAGCCATGGATCAGCTGGAAGCATCTATCGGTGAAGATGCCTGCCGTTTGTTCATTTTATGGCCATCTGATGAACGTCTTGGCGCGTCCACAAGCGTGTGGATGTACTACGAGTGAGTGCGATGGCCTCACTTTGGTACGGGCGTTAGTACGATTGCACGAGATCACAGTGTAGAAGGCCACTACACTTTAAAACCATTTTCCGGCGCCTGTGTAGAGACACAGGCTGCGCCGAAGGTTCACCACTCGAAGAGATCAAGTAGACCGGGACACGAATTCAAACCAAGAAGGGCGCATCCAAGAAGAGAAGATTGGTGTTGTTCAGGATGATCAACACGCTGAAGTGAGATCGACCATCAGAGAGAATCGATCGTAGAGCAATCCCGATCGACTGAAAGAGAGTCGATCTAAGAGGACGTGACTGTGGAAGTACACCCACAGTCAGTACACGTATTGGAACAAAGTTTCAGCATTCCTGAGAGTGATAACCCCCGAGAGAGTTATGTTAAGGGTGTGGATCCCCAACCACCTGCGGATGTGTTTTCCCAGGAAATCACCGAGACAGTGAATGTTTTGGTGAATGACGGATCAAGTGTAGGCGCTTATACACTTGATCTGGTTACACCTCTAAAATCAGCTTCGGAGGTAATCAAGTTGCCAACGCTATAATTTGAAAGATTCTTGCGAGGTCTGCATAGTGACAAGACTAAGAGAATCTGAGGGCTCGTCATAGAGGACGAGGACGTCGCCGATAATCGGTCGGCACAAGTGTTTACTGAGGGCGAACGGGTTCTCAGTAGCTCATTGATGGACGAGAGTGTCCTCGATGAGAAGACTCGGATTGAGCGATACATGCCTCAACTTTGGGAGTCTTTGAAGACAAATCCTTTGTATGAGGATTTGGTTGAATTCAGGGATGTTTTCCCTGAATCCGTGCCATGCAAGCTGCCCAAGGACAAAAGCAGTCGGCATGAGATCGAACTGAAACCAGATTCGAAGTACTGTGTCATGAAGCATTGGCCACTGCCTCGTGAACAGGTAACAGCGATCGACAAGTTCTTTGCCGATCGTGTAGCGGCTGGTCATGTGAGGGAATCAACTTCCCCACATAGCTCTCCGACTTTTTGTGTGCGAAAGGCCACAGGAGGGTGGCGGATAGTGCACGCGTTCAACAAATTGAACGCTGCAACGGTACCGGCTCAGACGCCGATACCGAGGAAGGACGTAATCATTGATGGTATGTCAAAGAGTACCATCTTTTCGTCCATGGATTGAATGGATGGATTCTATCAGATCCTCATGCGTGAACGGGACATCCCTACACTGCAGTGAGCACCCTCAGTGGTATAATCTGGGAGTGGCTAGTGATGCCACAGGGGCTAATTGACGCCCCCTGCCACGTTCAACAGATGTGTTACGAATCTTTTCCGATTGGTGCGCGATTTCGTACCGGGTTACTTCGACGATGTCTTCGTCCATAGCCGGGCTATGGATGGAAAGAAGGACGTGGAGGTTTATAGAATCCACGTCTGGAAGGCTCTTACTCTAATTCGAGAGCATAAGTTGTTCGCGAACCTCAAGAAGTGTATATTCGCAGCGAACAAAATTCCACTTCTTGGCTGCATCGTGGGTAAAAACGGTGTACGCCCTGATCAGGAAACGATCAAGGCGATCAGCGAAATGACCTGTGCCATCGACGTCTAGGGACTTCGAAAGTTCCTTAGCTAGGCAGTGCATTTGCACAAAAAATCACGTGACTATGCTTAGATGAACGTACATCTCTCTCGTCTACCAAAGAAAAACGAGATGTGGTCATGGAGCGCTGATTGTCAGCACTCCATTGAAGGCATCAAGCAGAGCTTGATACAATCCCCAGTCCTAGCAATAGCCGATCAGGACAGGCCATTTCATGTGGTCTGTGATGCCAGCGATTTCGCAATCGGCTGTGCATTAATGCAGTACGATCTTGAAGGCGTTGAACGCGTCGTCTGCTATCAGTCGCGTCAGCTGCAACCAGCTGAGCGGAACTATCCAGTGCATGACAAGGAACTCCTTGCCATGAAGTATGCACTCGCGAAGTTCAGAGTCTAATCTCTTAGGAGATAGCCCTTCATCGTTTATACCGACCATGCGTCGTAACGCATGGCCGCAAACAGTCCACATGTCTCGCAACGAGTGGCAAGGTGGTTGTCTTTCTTCGCGGAGCACAACTTCTCCGTCGAGTGTAAACCAGGAAGACTTAATCTCGTCGCTGATGCTCTTCGCGGCGGCCCGATTTGGAGCTGACTTCTCAACCCAACAGTAGGGGTGATCCCACTGTTGCAACATTAACATTGATTGTTCCGTCGTCGAATCTCCTCGACGACGTGCGGAAAGCGTACACAGAAGATGAGTCTCTTCTGCGGTTGATGGATTATGTATCTAATCCATGCAGTCAATCTTTGAAAAGCTTGTCGTCTCAATACCTCTCTTCAACCGAACGGTATTCTGTTCGTGATGGACTGCTGTACTATACAGCAGTCAAAGGCGACACACCTCGTGTCGTCGTTCCGGCTCATGATAATCTGCAATTGCGCATCACGTATGAGTTTCATGATGCCCCAACAAGTGGGCATCGCGGTAGAATAAGGAGTTAACTCATGATTCGTGACTTCTACTGGCCTCGCCAGTGTGATTTTGTGCGCAAATACATTCGCGCTTGCGAAGTTTGTCAACGGGTGAAGCCTAGTCCTTCATCCCGCGCACCCTTGCAGCCTCTTCCGATTCCGGCAGAGTTTTGGCAGTCCATATCGTTGGACTTGGTCTTCGGGTTTCCCAAAGACGCTCACAAAAATACTGGTATTCTCGTGTTTGTTGATCAATTCAGCAAGATAGTACACCTTGTTGCTGTACCGGAGTCAATCACAGCCCAGGGCTGTGCGCGTGTCTTCACCAGTACTATCTTCGGATTTCACGAGTTCCCCCGTGAACTCGTGTCCGATAGGGACCCCCGCTTTACGGCGGAGTTCTGGTAATACGTGTTCCGTTCACTTGGAACACGTTTGAAAATGTCAGCTTCTGACTATCCCGAAACAGACGGTCAGACGGAACGCGTCAACCGCGTTCTCGAAGAGATATTTCGAGGATATTTCCACTCGTTTACGAGCTGGAGTGAGTTCTTGACGATGGCGGAATTCGCCATCAACAATTCGGTGCATGCGTCAACAACGCATACACCGTTCTTCGTGAATGGCCTACGCCATCCACGTTCACCCGCCTTCTTAGGGTGTGGCTCTAGTTTAAGGGGGGGTGGACTTCCTCGAACAAAATTCGATCTGGTTCTTGCTCATCACCCGTCGTCAATGGTGTCGACATGATGGATACCGATGTCGATCACATCGACATCGATGATGACGATGACGACGATGCTGATATAATCAGGATCGACAACGACTGCCAAAAGTAGGACGATGACGCCCTCACCGGTGAAGACAACGTTCTTTCATCAGTGCACACGAAACGCACTGCTGTTGACAAGGATGAATCAGCAGAGGGATTTCTACTGACTCGCGAAGCGGTTGTCCGATTCGTTCTAGACTCTATTGCAGATGCACTGGACGGAAAGAAACGAAACGCAGACAAACATGGAAGAGCAAATGCTCTTTCATTTGACAAAGGAGACCTAGTTTTACCGTCTACAGTAAACTTACCGAAGCACGCAGTGATAAAAGTGGGCAGCAGTAAATAACTGCCCAGGTACATCGGTCCATTTCGTGTATTGCGCCGCATGGGCAACGCATATACGATTGAGCTTCCTCGTAAGATGTCTGCTTATCCTACATTCACAATGGATCTCTCCGCCCGTGCTATCAGTACGAGCCCGTTTCGAGATGCGAAGAACACCTCCGCGGTCAAGAGCCGAGACCACCTTCGAGTGGTTCCGTTTCAACGAGCCAGTCTGGTCGACTAGCGAAGCGACCTGCTCACGCAGTTCATCGATGTCTCGACGAGCTGCAGCCAGCTCGTCACGAAGAGAACGAATCAAACGTTCTTTCTCAAGTTGTGTGAACGCAAAAGCGGCACGATCGTTCGGACGATCGTGCACTAAGAAATTGTAACTATCCCTTACAAGATCCTCAAGCTCATAACGCCGAGTCCGTTCATGAGCCAGGTCATCGTATAACTGCTCCGTTGCACGGTTCAGCTCCTGAACATCAAGCTGATCCGACCCTCAATCCGGATCATGTGTTTCCGCCACCACCACATTCTTTGGTGGACTCAGGCGGTGGTCAACGCTTCCTAGTGGAGCGTATTTTGAGCCACCGCGATGTAAATGGCGTCCGGACGAGCTACCTCGTCCGCTGGCGTGGCTATCCACCGGCCTAGGACAGATGGGAGCATAGTGCCCAGCTGATTGTTGATGTCCTGGGTCTCGTCGAGTAATATGACGAGACCCACCCGCTGTGTTCGAAGAAGGTCCGTCGGAAAACGACCTCCCCGAACGTGAGTACAGGGATTGAAAAGTGTCAATCCCTTAAGCCATCTCATGAGATGCGCGCCCTCCAGTAGGGATCATTAGGGAGGGAGGCCTCCCTAGGGGCAAAGTTCGAGTTGTCCAGGCAACCTGGACACGAATGACCCCACGAGAGACAGGGTAATCCTACCTCTCTTGAAAGCCGGTGCAACTTGTATCGCGCCCCGACTGGGTTGCGTTTCTCAAACCGGATGCAAGGTGCATCAAGTTTATCGAGCCAGGACCCACGGCCAATGCACTCGATGTTATGGACAAGGGCATTCCATCCTTGCACCAAGGCCTATCCGTCGCGGCCACGGTTTTCATTCTACCACCAATGTTTGACATTACACATCGGTTTGGAACTCTTTCCTTAGCGAGAATAGTCTTCGTGCTGGTATCAGGATGAAAGATCTTCCTACAGTCAAATAACGAAATATGATCCCGTTCGGTGGTCATACCGGTCACTCGACCCAGCTCTTTGGATGCCGGCATCCACGGACACTCCACTTGAGAATCGTGGCGCAGGATATTTCGGTCCCTGGCCTCTTGATTGGTGTCAGCTTGAGTACTGACACCAGTGGCAGCTCTATCCCTCGAGTACTTTGCTCGTGGTGATGCTTAGAGGCATCTCCACCATCCCCAAGCGTCTTATCGTTTGATGGACTTGCGTGAGACGGAGATTCATCGGAATAATTGCTCGATTTGAAGATCTCGGACATGATACCGACACGTTGACCAGTGCCAGTCAACCTGACTCTTGCAGTTTCCGCCCCGGGTGATCCGGAGGCGTGTGGTGTCACTTTTGAGTCGGATGCATCATCCGACTCGCCAGAAGAGATGAGCTAGATTTCAGACTCCTCTAGATCAAGACTCTTGGTACCCGCTGCAGACGCAACGGATGTACCTGTCGCACGTGGTGACTCACCACGTGAGGGATTAACGACAACAGGCGATGAATCGCCTGCTGCTGAGGTGTGAGAAGTGGTCTCTCCGGCTGCACTGCACGCATGCCGCATTTCTTGCTGCTACAGTAGCAGCTCGCTTGGATCTTAAAACCGTGCGTTGGATTGGCAAATGATTGAATTTGATCGATAAGTGCTCCCTTTCCCAGAGTGATACAACGGTGGTCACCCTGTCCCATTCAATTCTATTCAATCAACGGGTAATTGATGGTTAAGGGGGGGATGCAACGGGGTATCCCGTCACGTGAAGTTGACACCAAACGGTATCAATAGGTTTATTGTCTAGCATGAAAAAATCCTACCAACATTGCCCGAGATGGATAAAATTAAAGGAATGCTATCCCCTTGTACGATATCCATGAGCTGCTCCAAGATTGGTTGATATAAGACATATCAACCATAGATTGCCACCAATCGCTGCTAGACGCGCGCAATGAGTGGTGAGCAGGTTGTCGTCAAACGACGGCGTAGTTTAATATAGTTAGATAAAGATCAAAGTTATATTGGTAGCTTAACTATATTAAATGCAGCTCTCTTTTTACCCTTTACTTAATATATTTGTTGAGTAGATTAGCTTCCGCTGCACGTACTAGTGTACGTGAAGTTGTGTAGCACCCTAAACAAAGGATGCCCCGTTACAGCGTAGCGACCAAAAAAGCCTGTCGCATTTCTATAGATTGCCCTCTTACATTCCGCGTTACTTTAGTCATGCAAATGTGCTGGAAAAGGTAAATTTGATTGTTTTTTTTGCTGATGAAGCTAGCCGTCTATCATTTTAATTATTGTTGGTACAGTAAGAGCAGCTGAAAAGTGTTTCAGGGGCTTGTTGTGTCTACTAGACCTTCTCCTCGTTGACGCAATACGCTGAATATGAAAAGAAACGCACGTGTATAAACAAACACGCTATAGCCTCGATCCCTGTCACCGCAGTGCTGTTTCCTACGATTCGGCGGATTCGTTTACTCGCATACGACAAATTTGTCATCATTTCATAATGCAGCTGTGGAATGTATAGATACGCAGTAGATATGTCGCTTGAGGTCAGCTGCAACAGCTACTTTCGTGTAACTCATTAGGTCCGCTTCGAACGACAACCTCTTTTCCTTGTAGACGATGACGAGAGCATTTTCACTTTTTGCATGGCTACTGTGCTGATGTTCGTCTTCGATACCCTGCACTTGCTCATTACGAGCCCGAATGGTGAAGCTATAAGCGATTGTGCTCAATATTGAATGCTGGAAATTTTAATCATAAGTTAAAGTTTGTTGATTTTATCCATGCACCTGATAGAAGAGGATAGGCTTGATCGTATTTAGTACGGTTAAGGCACACCTAATTGCGTTAATTACAGACACACACGGAGGCGTGGTCACTGTTGTGACGCACGCTCGTGATTGGCTTAAAATCAATAAGATGATGAAAATAAGCCCATAAGCAAAAGGTTTTTCCCGGTACTAGCCCCTCCAGCTTGCCAATTTACCAGATCTAGTAACTTTTCCAATTGTAGTATTATTACCTCTCGATATTGTGTATGGCTACACTAAGTTATACCACATAGTGAAACGGCTGACAATACGCACCCCCTCATCGGTGCGTCAATTACATGGGACGACAAAGCATTCGCTAGGACAAAGATTTGAGTCAACATCCAAGACCGCACAATTTATTCAAGACTACTGCTTCAATGCAAACAAGATGTGCATCACGACAAGCGGCAGTGGGAAATGCAAAAAGTACGGCTGTGTTGACAAGGAATGCACGTGGGAAGTGCGCTTAAGCTGGCGAGTGGATGGGGCTGTGTACGTCTTTACAATCAATGACATGCAAAACTACTCTTGTATGTAACGGGGTGAATCGTTACATAACAATTTATAAGAAATTGTTAATAGAATATAACTATAAGAGTTATATTCTCAGAATATTGTCATAAGGACAAATATTCTGTAGCACTTACAAGTAGTTCCTAATTGGTTGATATAGGCCATTATATCAACCAACGAAGACGCGCCACGACAGACGCACGCAGTGAGTGGTGAGCAGATAACTTATTTACACATTTGCATTTAGACATAGTTAGATGAAGATAAATAGTGATTTATTGCAGACATTAACTATGCTAAATACAGTTCTACTTTTTACTTTAACCAAGTACTCGCTTCTCCTTACCGTCTTCCTCTGCACGTACCAGTGTACGTGAAGTTCCGAGGCACCGCCTTGTTCTGTCGTCAGAATAAGTAGCTTGTACTGTCATCAGTACAAACTTGAGGGTGCCCCGTTACACCTGGTAGCACTTCGTAGTCCGTCCAAGGACCGCGTTCACATCTAACATGAATATGTTGGATGATGAAGATGACCAAAGCTTTCACGCTACGCGTGACGGCTACTCCCATTTGAGCGATGTCGAATGGGATGCGGTTGAACGAATGGGTTCGACCATGGGCATCCATGCTGTTAGCGTCATGCTAGAGGCTCTCAATAGAGATGCCCAACATGCTACTATCGCCAAGTTCATTCAAAATGAACTTGACGCTGAACGCGAGAAAGTAGCCTTGCTTCACCAACAAGGTTCTCAACAAGCAGAGTTGTTGAGAGAACAAGGTGCTCAACAGTTTGAACTGTTGAGACAGCAGCAGGCTGCTGCTGGCGGGTCGATGCACTCGCGTCGGCCCGAGACTTTGAAGATTGACATCTCCAAGTATAGGGGGGTCGAAGAAGATTCCCTCTTGAGATGGTTCGTCGAATTGGATGACGCCATAAGGGCGCGTCGCATCGACGACGGGGATATGCAAGTTGCATTTGCCCAGTCAAATCTGGCAGGACGTGCCAAGACTTGGGCACTGGGGCTCAAGCTGCACGACCCATATGCGTTTGGGTCGTTGGAAGTCTTCAGTCGCGGCTCAGACAAACGTTTGAACCGCCTAGAGCTGAGTTCAGAGCTCGAACCGAACTCTTGAAGCTCAAGCAGGGTAAGCGTGATGTGCACGCTTACGCGCAACATATACGACATCTTACGAGTTGTATAAGTTCCAATCCGGTGGATGAACACACGTTGGTTTCGGTGTTCATGCAGGGTCTTGCGGATGGTCCCGTCAAGACTCACCTGTTCCGGCTTGAGCTAGATTCACTAGAACAAGCCATTTCCATTGCGGAGCAGGAAGACTTCAGTCTGAGACAGGATCGCGCCAGCTCGACATCATATCGTCAACCGAGACGATATGACAACGGAGGTCCAGAGCCGATGGAACTCTGTTATGTAGAGAGCGAGAAGGCTCGCTCTACAGGCTACAAGAAGTTGCAGAGATGCAACAGATGTCAAAAGACAGGACACTACGCTTACGAGTGTAGTGCCCCTCGTCCAGTGTCTCGCGACACTGGGCGTAGTGACCGTCCACCCATGAGAAAGGGGCAGGGACGAGGGTCCGCAGTTGGTGCAAAGACGCAACAACGGGATGGACCGTCAAAAACCGGACAGGATCAGTAGGTGCGGAGCACCCTACTGATCCAGCAACGTCAAGAGAATTTGTAGGCCTCTTGATGAAGGTTGCTCCCAACACACAAACGTTGTGCGTTGCTGCTCTAGGTAATGAGGTCTCACTCATTACCTTGAAACTCGAAGTGACGAATAAGTTGTCCCTTCGAGCTCTAGTCGATTGTGGGGCGTCCAACAATTTTGTGCGACGCCAATCGCTAGAAGATGGTCACGTTAAATTCAGTGAATGTGACACACCTCCTACGAGGATGACGGTACGTCTTTCGACAGGCGCATCCGTAACCGTCATGAAGCGTATAGTGAAGATCCACTATACGCTAGAAGATACCCAATATGACGATGATTTTATCGTATTGGATTTGGATGACAAATTTGATGTCATCCTTGGAATACCATGGCTCAGAAGGTACGAACCACGAGTAAACTGGCAACATCGGACAGTAACGATGCCTGCCGCTTGTTCATCAAATGGCCATCTGATGAACGTTTTGGAGCGTCCACAAGCGTGTGGATGTACTACGAGTGAGTGCGATGGCCTCACTTGTGGTACGGTCGTTAGTACGACTGCACAAAACCTTAGTGTACCAAACGGTTACACTTCGGAGCAAAGTTCCGGCGGCTGTGAGGAAACACAGGCTGCGCCGAAGGTCCACCACTCGAATAAGTCGGGTGGACTGGGACAAAGATGTATCCCTAGCGGGGAACATCTAGAAGAGAAACAATCGATCGCTCAGGTTAAGCGAAACGATAATCCTAGATCGACTGGAGAGTCGTTCGTAGAGGATATCGCTGTGGTTGCGCAACCCCAGCTAGAGGAAGTAAAGGGAATAAGTCCCAAGATTACAAATACGGCGGAAATAAGTTCCCCGAAACCCGCGGGAATAAGTCCCCGGGAAGCCGAAGGAATAAGTCCTTCGAAGCATGAGGGAATAAGTCCCCAGGAAATGACAGAGACATTGAATGTCATAGTCAATAACGGATCAAGTGTAGGCGCTTATACACTTGATCTGATTGCGCCTCCGAAGTTGACTTCGGAGATCACTCAGGTGCCAACGCGTGAACATAAAAGGTTCTTGCGTGATCTGCGTAGTGGCAAAGTCAAGCAGATCTGCATACTCGTCGCTGACGACGAGTGTGTAACCGACATAAGGTCAGCAACAGTGTTTACTGAGAACGAGAGAGTTCTCAGTAGTTCATCTATGGACGAGAGTGTCCTAGATGAAAAGACACGAATTGAGCGATATGACTCCCAATCATGGGAATCGCTCAAGAAAAATCCTCTCTATGAAGATTTGGTTGAATTCAAGGATGTATTCCCTGAAACTGTTCCGTGCGAATTACCGAAGGATAAAGGTATTCGACACGAATTCGAGCTTAAACCAGGATCGAAGTACTGTGTCATGAAGCAGTGGCCACTGCCTCGTGAACAAGTACTCGCGATCGACAAGTTCTTTGCCGATCGTTTAGCTGCGGGCCATGTGAGGGAATCAACTTCCCCACATAGCTCTCCGACCTTCTGTGTGCGAAAAGCAACAGGAGGGTGGCGGATAGTGCACGCGTTCAACAAATTGAACGCTGCAACGGTACCGGCTCAGACGCCGATACCGAGGAAGGACGTAATCATTGATGGTATGTCAAAGAGTACCATCTTTTCGTCCATGGATTTGATGGATGGCTTCTATCAAATCCTTATGCGGGAACGGGATATACCCTATACCGCAGTTAGCACGCCTAGCGGCATGCTCTGGGAATGGCTAGTAATGCCACAAGGGCTCAGTAATGCCCCTGCCACGTTCAACAGATGTGTATAACATCTGTTGAGACCAGTACGAGAATCTGCGCCGAGCTATTTCGATGACGTATTCATCCATAGTCGGGCTATGGATGGAAAGTCGGACGTTGAGGTTCACAGGTACCACGTCCGACAAGTTCTTACAATCATGCGAAAGCATCAATTGTATGCTAACCTCAAGAAGTGTATATTTGCAGCAAGCGAAATACCACTTCTTGGGTGCATCGTTGGTAAGAACGGTGTACGTCCTGATCCCGAAAAGATCAAGGCGATCACCGACTGGCCTGTGCCGGTCGATGTCAAAGGTCTTCAAAAATTCCTTGGGCTAGCGGCGTATTTGTATAAGTATTCACGCAATTACGCCGAGATGACTGTGCACCTCTCTCGTTTGTTGAAAAAGAACGAGAGGTGGATATGGAACGCTGAATGTCAGCGCTCCTTTGATGGTATCAAGCAGAGCTTGATACAATCCCCAGTCCTAGCAATATCCGATCAGGACAGGCCATTTCATGTGGTCTGTGATGCCAGCGATTTCGCAATCGGCTGTGCATTAATGCAGTACGATCTTGAAGGCGTTGAACGCGTCGTCTGCTATCAGTCGCGTCAGCTGCAACCAGCTGAGCGGAACTATCCAATGCATGACAAGGAACTCCTTGCCATGAAGTATGCACTCGCGAAGTTCAGATTCTATCTATTAGGAGATAGACCCTTCGTTGTTTACACAGACCATGCGTCATTACGCACGGCAGTGAACAGCCCGCACCTTTCACAACGAATGGCGCGGTGGTTGTCATTCTTTGCGGAATACAACTTTACGGTCGAGTACAAACCAGGACGACTTAATGTCGTCGCTGATGCACTCTCACGTCGTCCCGACTTTGAAACAGTCGCGAAACCCAACAGTGAGACAGTCACTGTTGCGGTTATGACGTCCTCAGTCCCATCTACAACGTTGTATGATGATGTGAGGCGGGCATACGCCCAAGATGGTGAGATAGTGAAGTTGTTGTCACATCTCTCCCAACCATCTCGAGAATCGTTGAAACGATTATCGCCTGCGTATCGATCTGCATCAGATCGATACACTACTCGTAACGGTTTACTGTATTATACAGCCGTTTCTGGTGACACACCACGTGTTGTCATTCCAGATGATACTGATCTGCGTTTGCGGATCATGTTCGAGTATCACGATGCTCCTATAGGAGGACATCGTGGCCGAGAGAAAACATATCTCACGGTAAGTCGAGACTTTTACTGGCACCGCCAGTATCAGTTTGTGCGAAAGTATGTTCGCGCATGCGAAGTCTGTCAACTAGTGAAGTCTAGTCCTTCACTGCGTGCACCTTTACAGCCTCTACCGGTTCCGGCTGAGTGCTGGGAATCCATCTCAATGGATTTCGTCTTCGGGTTACCCAAAGACGCACGCGGGAATACGGGTATTCTCGTATTTGTTGACAGATTCAGCAAAATGGTACACCTTGTGGCTGTACCAGAGACAATCACGGCAAGTGGCTGTGCTTGTGTCTTTATTGACACCATCTTCCGACTTCATGGGTTGCCCCGTGAACTCGTATCAGACAGAGATCCACGATTCACTGCTGATTTCTGGCGTTCCGTGTTCAAATCACTCGGAACGCGCTTGAAGATGTCAACATCTGATCATCCAGAGTCAGATGGTCAGACGGAACGTGCCAATCGTGTCCTTGAAGAGATACTTCGAGGATACGTACACTCCTTTAAGAGTTGGAGTGAGTTTTTGCCAATGGTAGAGTTTGCCATCAACAACTCGGTGCATGCGTCCACGACACATACACCGTTTTACGTGAATGGCTTGCGCCATCCGCGTGTACCCACCTTACTAGAGTGTAACTCTGGTTTAAGGGGGGGAGGGACTCGCGCGAGCAAAAACCGATTTGGTTCACGCTCATCACGCTCTGACGAAGAAGTCATTGCGTTTGATTCCGATATCGATAACATCGATATCGACGAAGATGATGCCAGTGAGAGTGCGGAAGCCCTCACTGAAGACAATGATCCCAGCGAGAGTGCGGAAGCCCTCACTGAAGAAAAAGGTTGTTGTTGCTGCAGTGCGCTCACAGCACACTGAAGCTAACGAGTCATCAGATGAGTTCATACTGGCTCGTGAAACGGTAGTCCGTTTTGTGCAAGACTCCATCGCCGAAGCGGTGGATAAGCAAAAGCAAAACGCTGACAAGAATGGAAGGGCGGAGACTCTTTTATTTAATAAAGGTGACTTAGTCCTACTGTCTACGGTTAATCTACCAAAGCATGTAGTGACTTACTTGGGTAGCAGTAAACTACTACCCAAGTACATCGGCCCATTTCGTGTATTGCACCGCCTAGGCAATGCATACACGATCGAGTTGCCACGTAAGATGCGAACGCATCCCACGTTTTACGTTGGTCGGCTTAAGCCGTACCATCAGTACGCTGCTTCTTCCGATGAAGAACGCCCTTGCGCTCAAGCATCTCGCAGAGAGCCTTGTGCTCCCGATGGTGGGCATCAACAAGGGTCTGAAGAGCAGCTATCTCATCCCGAGACCGATCAACAATCCCACGATCTACCCTTAGCTCGTCACGAAGAGATGTCAGAGATCTCTCGTTCTCGAGCTGAGCAAAGGCAAACTCAGCTCGATGCTTCGAGGCAGTGTCCGCCATTTGGAGACGCCTATTTCGCTCATGCTCGAGATCGTCGCGTAACCCTTGCGTTACGCGATCAAAGAAGCTCTCGGGAACACACCGATCCACATGATCGTGTGGAGAGCGTCTTTCCTCCTCCTCCACCTCCATTAGAGGACTCTCGTGGTGGCCAGCGCTATCTAGTTGAGCAGCTGTTGAACCACCGCGACGTGAACGGACGTCGGACGAGTTATCTCGTCCGGTGGCGCGGCTATCCCCCGTCCTAGGATTCTTGGGAGCCCCGCTCCCAACTGATGATCGACGTACTGGGTCTGGTTGAGCAGTACGACGCGGCACATCCTGTGCCGCAGAAGGACCGCCGGAGAAAGTCTTCCCGGCACGGTCGTAAAGGGATTTCAGGTTGTCAATCCCTTCGTACATCTCAGTAGAGATACGTACGCGCCACCACGGGCTGGTAAGGAGGTAAGCCTCCTTAGGTGCTCGTGCAGAGTTGTTCACACAACATGGGCACGAGGCTCCCCAAGAGAGGGCAGGGTAATCCTTTCTCCCTTGACAGACGATGCAGCTTGTAGCGTGCACCTGTCGGGGTTCGCTTTTCAAACTTATCACGAGCTTTGATAAGTTTGTCGTTCCAAGCGTCACGACCTACATCCTCGAGGTTATGGATGTAGGCGTTCCATGCCTGAAGTAGTGAGGGACCATCACGTTTGTGATTCCCACTGTACCATCGATGTTTGAAGAAAGCATCGATGAAGAATTCGTGTTCAGCGCGATAGTTTTTCGCGCTGGGGTCAAGGTGATGGATCCTTGACGAATCGAACAATCGTGTTCGATAACGATCACTCGTCGTCGCCGACAAGTGATCCATGACAGATTTGGAGGCATCCATGCCTTCTTTTCTGGAGCGAGACGCAACACATTGCGGTCCCGCTCTTCCTGCGACGTGCCGACAGAAGTGCTGGCACCTCGCTGCGAAGTGGTGTCCATTGGAGAACCGACACCACTTTTAGCGCCCGAGTCTCGCGACCTCGAGCGCCTTCGCTTCGGCGATGGTTCATCTGATTCGTCAGATGAACCAAAGATGCTGCGACGCAAAGCATCGTCCATGCCACGCTTGGCAGGCGGCTTGGATTCAATTGCCGTCGATACGGATCCGTCATCCGTATCAGGAGAGTACGAGACACCGAGCTCGTACTCTGTGAAGACACGAGTGTCTTCATGACCAGCGCCTGCATCACCAGGTGACACAGGCTGAGTCGCTGCAGCAACCGATGGGACATCAGTTGCTGTTGTTTCTGCTTCGGCGTCCGCACAGAGACGTTCAGACGCGCTCTCGGCGGCCTTGCTCGCGCATCGCATGGGCTTGTTAACCATGCGATGAGATGTTGGAAAGTGGACGCGGACCAACAAGTACAAACCCTGTCCCAAATGATTTGGGACGAGTATCCATTTAGTCAATCAGTCACTAAAGTGACTGATGGTTAAGGGGGTGTGATGTAACGGGGTGAATGGTTACATAACAATTTATAAGAAATTGTTAATAAAATATAACTATAAGAGTTATATTCTCAGAATATTGTCATAAGGACAAATATTCTGTAGCATTTACGAGTAGTTCCTAATTGGTTGATATAGGCCATTATATCAACCAACGAAGACACGCCACGACAGACGCACGCAATGAGTGGTGAGCAGATAACTGATTTACACATTTGTATTTAGACATAGTTAGATGAAGATAAATAGGGATTTATTGCAGACATTAACTATTATAAATACAGTTCTACTTTTTACTTTAACCAAGTACTCGCTTCTTCTTACCGTCTTCCTCTGCATGTACGAGTGTACGTGAAGTTACGAGGCACCGCCTTATTCTGTTATCAGAATAAGTAGCTTGTACTGTCACCAGTACAAGCTTCAGGGTGCCCCGTTACATTGTACGTCTATACCGAAACCAACATCACGACCGATACGCTCACTTCAAACAATTCAGGCAGACATCCGTGGTCATAAGATCATGAAGCGCAAGACGCTGGTGGCACCCATTCCAGGTCGCGATCACGCCAACTTGAAAGTAGATAGGTCAAAGCTGTACAGAGCAAATGATGATGTGGTCGACATGGTTGATGGAAGATGGAGTGAATCTTTTACAAAAGAATGCCTTATTTGCAGGCAAAACTACGAAAAAAACAATCTAGGAACGACTTTGCGACTCGAATTCGATTGACGCAGTCGCTTTCTACGCATATTTCTAGCGTCTGGGTAAATGTTATCAGTTAGCCACACCTTATTCCAATTCTCGGGTAAGATGGAATCCACTCACGACTCTATAAGTATAACGGGGTTGTTCTTTTG